CGGCCAGGGAGGTGACCCACGTGGCACAGCAGACCTCTCCTGTCTCCCTGCTGCTCCCCTGAGCAGTGTTTTTCAGTGGATCCACCTGTTCTGCCCCCACTCTCTCTGGTGAATCCTCTCACACCCCCCATACCTCTGGCCTGTACCCCAGTTCTTGTATGCATAAATATTTTTTAAAGAAAAAAAGTGTTCATATTCACATATTTGAGTTTCTACCTATAATCCAGCAATTTCACACTTAAAACACATGCCCAAAGCCATGTGAGCAAAACTGCACCAAGATACAAAGAGAAAGTTCACTGTTGGCTGTCAATTGCCAAAAAAATTTGAATTACTGAAGGGGAAAAGTAAATTGAAGCATAGTCATCCAATGTAATAGTACACAGCAAGGAAAATGAACAAACTATACAACATGATTCTCACAAACATTGAGCATTAGAAGCCACCCCATCTCCAGAAAGCTACATAAATGATCCCATCATTTTTAAGTTACACGAACAAGCAAAACTAAATTATGTGAGTAGGTCTATGTGTTTAGCTGATTAAGCTATAATTACAGCCAAAGGAGTGATTTCACCAAAATCAGAATAGCAACTGCCTTGGGTTAAGGAGGAAGGGCACACTGACCGGGAGGGTGGGGAGGGGCTGCTGAGGTGTTGGCAAGACTGTCTTCTTGTTGCAGCTGGCTGGGTCACAGCATTTGTTTTACGATAATTCATTTGCTTTTGAAAAACTTCAGTGAGGTGGGCTTTTTTGTGGGCTGTATTCACAATATAAAAGAGAAATAGTACAGTGGCCTTGAGTTGTAAAAATTTCAATCGTCTCATAAAAGCAAAGCCAAATCCTTTCTAGAGAAACCCACCTGCAATCCAGGTCAAAGATTTTTCAGTGCACACCGCAGCACACAGGTTCACAGTGAGGGAGGGGGAAGTTCACAAAACACGCAGGAAGTCATCATTAGTGAGAACCAGCAGAAATAACACACTTCATAATCGGATTCACAAAGACTTTTGGATGCTGGAACATACAAGAATATAAAATTAATAAATCGCTCACAACTAATCAGAAAAGAGAATGCATAAATGTTTTGTTTCGGTCTTTTGCATAGAACTGGGGTGTAGGCCAGAGGTGCGGGGGTTGAGAGGGGGCATGCATAAACATTAAAAGATGCTTCAGAGATTACTTCACAACAGGGCATTACAAACTTTACGTCCAAATCTTATAGAGATTAATCATATAAATTCCCACAAACCTTTAACTTGAAGCGGACTTAAAAATGTGACTAGTTCTCAAATATCCAAAAAGATCAAATCTATAATTTAAAATACTTCTTTGATAAAAACAGAAGTTCAACTTCCATATGACCCAGCAATTCCACTCCTAGGTATTTACCCAAAGGACACAGAAACATTAATTCCAAAGGGCACCTGCAACCCTCTGTTTATAGCAGCACTATTTACAATAGCTAAGCTTTGGAAACAACCCAAATGCCCAAAAATAGATGACTGGATCAAGAAGATGTGGTCCATATACACCATGGAATATTACTCAGCAATCAAAAAAGATAAACTCATGCAATTTGCAGCAACAGGGATGGAGCTGGAAGGGATTATGCTCAGCGAAATAAGCCAGAAAGAAAAAGAAAAATACCAAATGGTCTCACCCATAGCAGGAATTTAGAAAACCTAAATAAGGGGCCAGGAGAAAGACTAATTCTAATAAAGTAAAAATCAAAATCAACAAGCAACTACAAGCCAGAGACACACTAAAGGAGGTTGGGGGGTGCACGTAGGAAGGATTACAGTCAAAATAAGGGGGGTGGGAATTGGGCTACAACCAAGATGAAAAAGCATACATTGTGCAAAAATGAAGAATGATGTTAAAAACCAAAAACCAAAAAAAACAGAAGCTCCTGAGATTCTATTTCTGAATCCTACCAAAACCCCAGTAACAACTAATTCATATCCGGGCTACAGAGAGAATATGCTTTAGTCTCAGTGGAAGCAAGTGACAAGACGATATTAACTCAGGAACATGGACTTTCACAAACCCTAAGCCAAACTGGCAGAAAAAATTAAGCAATATACAGAAAAACAAAACAGCACAGACAGGCGGATTTACCAAGAATCGCAGTTTGTAGACATTGAAAAACAAATCAAATACACTGTTCACAGATTAAAGGAGAAAAATACTACGTTATCGATGGAAATGGAAAAAGCACCGGTACGGTCAAAGGTCCATTTGCGACAGAATCAAACAGGAATAAAACGCAAATTCCTATCTCCTAGCTGGGAAAGAAACTCCCCCTACTAAATCGTGGTCCAACAAAAAGCGACAACAAACCTCTCGGTGAAAAACACAGAGGCCCCAACACCATTTGAGTGTAATACTATGCTGGGGTCAGCACCCTCAGCAAAAAAACAGCCCAGGACCTAGTAAGAACAGCGGTTGCGGATGTGGCTGTGACCGTGAAGTGTCCAACGGAACAGAGTCTTGACAAATGAGGCTTTGGCAGGGATAGGGGATAACTTAGTGGACAAAAACATTCACATTTCTACATGGCAACGAAAACAAAGGTCAGGAAAGGCCACCTGAAAGTGTGAAAAAGAAGGAACCCAGGTCGACCCTAGGGCCTTGTGGGTGCCCACCCGTGGCACACAGTTCTGCCTGACCACGCTTTCCTCTCCCGAGCGCGGGCCCAGGGCCGAGGCCCCCTGTGGCAACTGATGTGAGGCGGGGCTGTCTCCCTGCACTGTGACCGCCCACCTGGCAAGGCAAGCCCTCGAAGGCCCCAGGGGAGCACCTTGCCGGGACACAGCCTAAGGCGGCCCCTGCAGGCTGACCCTGTCACGTGCCTCAGCCCAGGGGTGTGTGTGGGGGGGGGCCCTGCTGATACCCACTCTGGGGACCACTGAGCTCAGCCCTTCTCATGGTCCTGCCCCCGACTCACACCCACCACATGTGGGCAGCTGGGCGCTCGTGGCCAGGTTCCCGGGCCAGGGAGTCCACGCTGCTTGGGCCCCAGCCCCTCGGCCAGCCACACTTCCTGGGGCTCAGATAACACCCTGCTTGTGCCGGACCAGGCAGGTACTTGCAGTTCAGCTTCTAGAAAGGCCTCTCATGCACTGGCTTCTGGGGTCAGCAGAGGGACCAGCAGCTTCGCCGCCCACTCCGAGTCAACGTCTGCCCCCCGGAGCAAAGGCGGACGGAAACCACGCACCTCGAATGGGGGATCTACCCAAAGAGCAAATGAAGACACCAGAAAAGTCTCTGGTTAAAATTAATGGTTTTATTTCCATCTTTATGCTAGCAGGAGTCCAGAACAGCTGTGGGACGTGGATACAGTTTCAACGTAACAAAGAAATACTGAAACTATGTACACTGAGGAGGGAGATTTTCATACCAATCTTTTCCTATTTTGCAGTTTCTAAATAGTAGAAACTAAACATTTTCCCGATTTAATTTAGTGTAAAATAACACAACTCTTTACGCACAAAACTTAGAGAGATTTTGGCTGCGCGGTCGTCTTGGCTCCTGAAGTCTGGCTGTGGTCAGGAGGCGAGGAAGGGGCGCCTCCGCCGGCCCAGGAGGGGGCACTCACCTCCCGCCCGCCCTCCGGGCAAAAAATGACTCCTTTCTTCAGACCAGACTGCAAGCGAGCCACGGTTCAAGTCAGAAAGCGGAATAGAACAAGTTTCTCGTCACTGAGAGGAGGGACGCTCCTCCAGCCCCGTGTGAAGTGGATTCCGTGCGGAGTCCCTGCTCCCTCAGCTGGGGGCGCCGGAGGCCAGTTATTGCTAGCGAGCCGGAGGAGGCCCTGCCCGTCTCCGAGATGTTTCACACGAAAGGCTGTGGTTTGGCGTGAAGCCCTCTGAGGAAGGCGGGGATGCAGGTGGAGCAGGCTGGCGCGGCGAGGCCTCTCCCTGACTGGCCGCCGCCAGCCGGCACTTGAGGGACCGTGGTCGCCGCCGCCGCCGGGTGGCGCCAAGGGTGGAGCCAAGGGTGTCAGATGGGCACTGCGGGGGGGCGAGCGCCACACTTTTCCAACCCGAGCCCACGGGGCAGTGAGAGGCCCAAGGGCCCTAAGAGCAGCTTCTGAAGGGAAGGCCGACGGCCCGCGCCGACCAGCGGGGGCGGCCGAGGTGGGCAACAGCACGCACAGGCGGCCCGTAAGGCCACGATGGCTGCCACCGCCTCCCAGAAGACATCAGGAACCGAGAACCAGAGGGCACGTGGCGAGCACAGGACAGGTCTGGTCAGAAGAGAGGACACCGACCACGGGCCGCTCGTTTACCTGCGTGGGGCGCCAAGCGGCACGCGCTGGGGCTGGGGTGGCGTTCCTGAGAGCGGGTGTGAGCAGACGGCGGGGCAGGTGCCGCGCCACGGCAGCTCCAGCCTCTGAGGGACACTCGTGGCCACATCTCCTGGGCGGCGGCAAGCAGGCCGGTGGGCGCTATTGCACACGGCGTTCTCGGGAAGCTGGACAGCCCCGCAGAGGCACTCGCCACCGGCAGAAATCCCTGCACGTCGACACTAAGGTGCGGGCCAGGCCGTGATGACCCCAAGCTCAAGGGAAGAACAGTCCAGCGGCTGGCCTCTCCGGGCCGTGGTCACCCTGGGACACTCCAGCTGGATGGACCACACTGGCTGGGTCACTGGTGGGCAGACACCCGGGGCGAGGCACCCCGCTGGAGCTCTGAAGAGGAAGCTGGGCCAAACTTTCCGAGCAGGGAAAACTCCTTGGCAGACGGGAAGGCTCCGGAAAGAGGCTGGACCACGCCTCCCGATGCCAGCGGGCACGGGGAGCAGACCACTGGAGGAGCGGCCGCGCAGGCCAGGCCTGGCTCTAGCTCCACAGCAGCCACCTGGGGGCGGCGGGGGTCTAGGGGTCGAGAACAAAGAGCAGTTTATGTCAGACGCTGGTTTTGAACAGTCTTTGTGGACTCAGGAAACTAGAGGCAGATAAACCACGTAAGGCCGTGTGGAGAGCCCAGCCAGGCAGGCCGTCCGTCTGTCCATCCATCTCCCCCAAGCAGCTCGCAACACTTCATATATAAATGGGGTGGTAGCGTTTGTGGCTGATCTTTTTCCTGCACGTGGGGCAAGTGTTAGCGTTCTTGAGGGAGTCACGGAGACACTGGCTGCAAAAGACGTGGCCGCACTCTGTGGACACAATGAGGCGGCCATTCTGCACGATCTGGAAAACAAAAGCACCAGCCTGGCATCTGCCTGCCCCAGCAGTGGCCCTGGGCACCCCCAGCCCAGGATGGTTGGTGCCAGGGCCTGGGGATGCCCCAGTGTCTCTGCAGCCGGCAGCGGGAAGCCAAGGGTGGAGATTCCACAGGGCGGGTAAAGCCCAGGGCTAGTGCGGGGCACGATGGGGTGCCCACGGGCCTGGCGCATGCACAGGGAGCCCAAGGAACGTGGCCAGGGCCGGTGGTCACAGGCCTGAGGAGGAGGGACAGCCGTGATGGCTGCACACCCCTCCTCACCCCTCTCGTCTACTTCACTCACAGAAGCCAGAAGAGGCAGGGCGGACAACGAAGGTCGCTTACCTCTGAGTATCCATCCATGCAGATTGGACAGCTGACAGTACCGGAGGGCCTGAAATCACAGTGCTTCCGTCAGTTCCTCCGCAAACTCACTCACTCCCCTAAAAGAGCCTCTGCCGCAGTGTGAGCACAAGCCCCAGGGCGCCTTACAGGACAGCCGACCACTCGGGGGTGCGGGGGGTGGGGGCGTGGGCAAGGGAAGAGCTGGGAACAAGAGAAGGCACTGGCAGCCTGAGTCACGGCCCCACTCCCCCAAAACCTGGGCTCCCGCAGAGCCCTTCCAGCCTGTATGGGGCAGGGGCTGCAGCTGGCAGCCCCCAGGCATTCCTCTGACAGGAAGCTGGGGCACTGTCTGCCCACCTCAGGCAGGGCACACCAGCCCAGACCCACCTGCAGGCGGTGCTGTGACAGGCCCCCCCGCTGGGCCCGGCCCACTCCCCGACTGAGACCCAGGACATGGAAGACGCCTGCCTGGTGAGGCTGGAGGGCCAGTGACTTTCTGAGGAGCAGGGACTGCGGTACCTGAGTCCTGGGGCACCCTCTTCCCGGGCGTTTCTGGCAGAGTGGGTGGTGACATACACGTCTCTGTCCCGGGAGAGCTCCTCCTCATCGCTGCTCACCACACAGCTGTCGGCGTGGTCCTGGCGTGGCCGCCTCGCGTTCCTCCTAGGCCGCCTCCTTTCTGAGGTGCGAGTCTACGCTGAGCCCAGGGCCTCCTGACGTCCCGCCCCCCCAATGCCCTGTGCTGCCAGGGGGAAGGCCAGTCCCCCCTGAGCAGTGTCCCCCTGCAGGCCTCTCCCTCCTTCAGGCCTGGTAAGGCCGCCTCGTGTCCCCTCGCCCACCTCAGCTGTCTTGCCAACCCATGGAAAAGGAGCAGAGACACTCACCATCGACGATCTTTCAGGAAAGAGAAAAACGAGAGAGAGACACAATCAGCATGACGTGGCATCATCCGTGATCACACGGGAGCATGTTCCGAACGTGCCAAGGCCTCTGTGGGATCGTGTGGACCAGCAGGGCCCCGGATATGGGACTGGGCAGAGGCCCTGCCTCCCCAGGGCTCCCTCCCTTCCGCCCTGTGCTTCGTGCTTTAGCCCCAGAAGCCGAGTCTCTGGGAGCGGCCGACCTCGTCCTGAAGCAGGCGACAGACCCGCGCCAGCCACCCTGGGTGCCCCTTCTCCCACGGGCCAAGGTCAAGGGTCGCACCCCATGTGGGCTACTGCCAAAAACAGAGCCTCTAGTGGGAGGAGGCTCCGCAGTGCGCAACACCTCAAAGATGATTAACGGAGCGAACGAAAGCAGGCCCCACAGGACCCGCAGGCAGGATCGCGAGGACTCAGGCCGTCACGGAACGTGCAGCCCCTGCCACCGCCTCAGACACAACTACTCAGGCCATGGCAGTCTCGGGCCAGGTGGCCTCACAGGCCTGGCGAAGTCGCTCCTGCCTACTCACCCCAGCCTGCTGTGTGCCACCCACCAGAACCCCCACTGCCCGGAGTCAAGGGGCCACCTGTGTCCGGCCCCATCCAAGCAGCGATTCTGAGCCGAGCTCCCTCCAGGAGACACCCACGGCTGCGCTGGGCGCAGGATGCCGAGGCTGCGAGGACTGAGCCCAGACCGCCTCTCCCCAGAGCCAGTGAACGCTGCGGCGTCCCGAGTGTCCTGGAGACGTGGTCCTCGGTCTCTTCAACCCCTAGAAGCAACTGTCCCACATGTCCCGCCCCCCCCCGCGTGGGAACTGACTCAGTTTTCCGCCAAGACCGAAGGATCTGAACAGCCACCCCGGGCATAGGGTGGGCGCTTCTGGCAGCGCCTGCCACCCCCAACCTCATCTCGGGGCTAGAGAGTGAAGAAAAGCTCGGGCCGGCAGAAGGTGCTATGCTACGTCTAGAACAGGCTCGAATTCAGCCGGGAGGGCGAATCTTGCTGTGGGCAGGAAGCCCAGCCCCCCAGCCCCAGCACGGGCTTTGCCCCCACTTTGTAAGCACCACCTGTCAGCTGTGGAGGCCCGGAAGGAAGGTGAGGCACTCTCTTCCAGGAGCCGCAGCTCGCCCCTGAGAGGGCTGGTTCCCATCCAGGCCGACCAGGAAGCCCAGGAAAGGGCACGGGGCTCGCCAGCCCCAGGGCACTGGGCACGTGGTGGGTGTTCCACACCTCACTGGCCATGAACGAGCTCACAGCGGCCAATGCCTCTACCTGCCACACCTGCCAGGACCCGGATGCCTCCCAAGGAGGATGGGAGGGTCACCCACAGGGTGGGAAAGGCCTCAGGGCCGCCCTGGGGCACAGGGGTTAAAGTCTCGTGCTACCACACTACCCCAGCGCCTGCAGCCTGCGATAATTCCCAGCCAGGGAGCAACCCACAGGGCGCAGCAGACCTCTCCTGTCTCCCCGCTGCTCCCCTCAGCAGTGGACTTCAGTGGATCCACCCGTCCTGCTCCCCACTCCATCTCTGGTAAACCCTCTCACCCCCGCACCTCTGGCCTGCACCCCAAGTCTTCTATGTAAAAAAAGACAAACAGAAAATCCCTAAGCAGAGTTGGACGACGTCTCCTCGTCTCAGCATTTCCAGCTTCATCTTTACGTTTCCAGCTTGCCAGGGCTCCGGGTCTGCCGTGAGGGGGACAGAGGCCGCGAGCCCCAGGGAAAGAGGGCGGCTCCCACAGTGCCGGAGCCACCCCGGACACCCGCCCAGGCTCGGGCCAGCTGGCCCGTGCCCGCCGACGCAGCAGCCAAGTAGGCTGGGTCAGGGAGGGTGCCGGCCAGGCGGAATTCTCCCGGAGGCCTCTGCCCGCGCGAGCGAAGGACTGGACTGTAGCACCCCGCTTCCCACGCAGCTCGGCCGCGCTTCTCACTGCACGCCTTCAACAGCAGCAAAGACGAGGGAGCCACCAAGGGAGCCTTGGTAAGTTCACACAATTACTTGGGGATGGGAAGCAAGGTCAAGGTAAGGAAGTCACCAGCACTTCTGGGTCAGAACCCTGAACCGCAGCCCAGCAAGCCAGTCTCCCCGCCCCTGCGCGGCCTGCCTTCAGCCCCGCCATCGCCAGACAGCCCCTGGACGCCAATCAGGGAGGCCGGGAAAGGTCAGGGAGAAGCCGGCATGAGGGCGGCCTAGTCACCAAAATCAAGCGGGGGCCCACACACCACAACGTCGGAACCAATCACTGTCTTCTGGCGGGCGGAAGGAGGCCGCAGGGCCCCGCTGTTCCCCAGGGCTGGGCATGGTCAAGAACCAGAAAATGGGGCTCAGTACAAGGCTCAGTCAACAAACCACACAGCGGCTTCCGGTGGGGCACCAGGTCAAGCGGTCCCCCAAGCTCCAGGGAGCCGCAGGGCCCAGGAGCAGCGCTGCCAGTGGGGGGAGGGGGAGCCTGGGAAAACACTGAGCCCAGGCAGCAGCTAAGCCACTCCAGCTTATCTAGAAAGTTCCAGACCATCACCAGGAAAACTACTGCGTCCTGTCCGGACTCGATCGCTGCAGGCCCCCAGCCCTCATCCATGCCGCGTCCAGGGCAGGGGCCAGTGTTGTGACCAGGCAAGAGCAAAGAGCAGCCTCGGCGGGTGTGGGACAGGACCAAACCCTGCACAGGGTCAAACCCCACTGAGCCCGAGGCGGCCAACACTGGGGATAGCCCCGTCCCTGCCTTTTCCTTATCAGAGGTCCACGGATTCTCGGCACAGCCTGTTCCGAAGTTCAAGGCCATCAGGACGACAGACTCTGCTGCAGCACCCGCTGCCCCCACACCAGAGTCTCAGCAGTGCCAACCACTACCCACACCATTGCGCCCCACATACACAGACCCCAACTTGATGGAAAGCACTAAAGCAGCTTCAGGGAGGCAAAGCGGCCAGGCACGCGCTGCGGGGCTGCCTGGTCTCCACCAGCCTGGAATGGCTCTGCCAGAGCCCACGGCCACCACGGGGAGGGGCAGGGGCAGCCTCCCAGGCCCAGGCTCCTCCTTGCCGGGATCCCCAAGATGCTGCATCCTCCGAGGCCAGGTCACCCGCAGCACTGAGTAAACGTCACCAGCGGTGAGGCCGCCACCAGGGCAGCACGACGCAGGACCCCGTGCGTCCCCGCACCACAGACAGAGCCAGTGAGGCCGGGTGACTTCCTGAGCACTGAGGGCAGATGGGGGCCCCCAGCGACGGGCAGTCAGGGCCACCAGGACGCACATGCACAGGCAGCAGAGCCGTGGCCACGGAGTGCCAGCACCCAGACACTCACCACCACGGAGTCGTTATGGGTCAGGTCGACGACCACGGGCTCCAAAGACTCACAGGTGAGGTCCACGATTTCGTCTCCGGCTTCAAAAGAAAGATTTGCAGAAGCGTCAGGAGGACTGGGCACGGCGTTTCGTCAGCGGAGCAGAGGCACCCACGTGCGCCGGGACAGACTGCCCCGCGGACGGCCCGCGCTGCCCTGCAGGTTTGGGAGCGAGGTTTGAGGTTTTCACAAATATGCGCCTGTGCCCAGGGCCTCACGGTCGCCTACCCCCATGTCCCCACCAGAAGGCTGGGCTAAGGACCAGCAGAAGCCCCCAGTCCCCAAGGAGGACACGTCAGCTCTGACCCTCCTCGGTCACTCTCTCCAGCGCACCCCCCTCGCGGGGACAAAGAGGGTGCGCAGGCCGGTCTCAGCACCGCAGTGCACCCAGCGGGCCGTGCCCGGGCAGCACCAGTTAGCGCGTGCGAGGGCAGTTATGGGCACTTCCGCCCAGCAGACCTTCATGCAACTGCAGGTGACAGACAACGCCCCCTGTTCTGCTACTAGGCACAGCTAACATCGCCAGCGCCGTTAGCACCAACCGTCACTGACATCATCACCATGAAAACCACAGGTCAACCCCGCCATCAACAGCGGTACTGCTCAGGAGTGACGCGGTCACGAGCCAACAGCATCACTGACATCCAGACCCACGGTGACATCTTAGAAACGGCGCACTTGGGCAACACGGCTCAGATCTGTTTGCTCTTCCTGTGTCGAGCGAGCAAAGCCTCACTGGACTGAGATGCCAACGTAGGCTGTTCGTTGCCCACACAGCCTCATTCTTTCAACAGATCACAGATACGCCCTACCCCGCATGTGCTGTAGTGTCATGGCGCTCTGAGTAACAAGTGACGGGGCGGGGGGGCTGTGTGCAGGAGAAGCACCATCTGGCAGCAGCTGGGGAGCCCCCAGAGACCGGCTGTGTGGGGGGCACATGTGTAGCCCCTCTGAGCGATGGCACCGTCAAACCAGGGGCGTGGGGAGGAGCCTCCGGGACCAAGGACTCCACGTGAGACAGGAAAGCAGGAGAACCAGACGTGACCCGGAGGCTGCCCTGCTTGGGGCACCCAAGGCCTGCAGATCCACCCCAGACCACACCGCTTCCCCAGGAAGTCGTTTCCAGGCAGACAGTCACAAACACCACCGGCATATGCGAGGCAAACGGACTCATTTCAGGCCAGTTGCCGCTTCCCCAAGCCAACGAGAGAGGGACAATCCAAACTGCTGCGACACGGAGCACTCACAGCCAGCCTGCCTTCCTGGACAAGAGTCTTCTCGCTAAAGCGAGGAGAGGGAAGCCAGGTCCTCAAAGGCCAAGCAAACTGGAGACAAAATTTCAAAACTGAAAAGGCGAGCTCAGGACAGCCTGGCCCTCCTGCCCAACCTGCCCGGAACCGAGCGGCAGTCTCAAATCCCAGGGATGTTTTCGGGTCCCCGAGGGGCAGGTCTGGTGCGCTGGGGGGGTCTGAAATGGGGGGTGCAAACAGGGCGGGAGCCGGGCCCTTTGCAGGGCACACTGCTGCCAAGCACGGGAGGGTCCTGGCACGGCTCTGGGCGGTGGCGTGACCCAGGCAGGGGGGCGTGCTGGGCTGGGGGGGAGGTCACCTTACCGCTCTCCACGAGCTCGATGGGCTCTGCTTCCAAGGCCATCTCGGGGGTGGAGGCTGCTTCCCGCGCTCTCTTCTGGGCTTGTCTAGAATTCGCTCCGCCACGACGCTTTCTCTAGGCGCACCCAAGGGAGAGAGACCATCGCGTGAGCACGCGGCTGACAGGATGTCAACGGAACAGCTGGTCAGCCAGGGAAGGACAGACAGCAGGGCCAGTGGGCGCGCTGGACACGGGCCCTTCAGCACGGAGACCCCAGGGAAAAGTCACCCTAGCCTGGCAAGCACTTACCCCGGGAGACCCAGATGCCCTCCCCAGGAGCCCCTGCCGGGGTCGGGCCCTGGCTCAACCTGAAGAGTGTGTTCAGGTCCCGGGAGCCCAACTCCCCCATCATGGGTGGCGGGTAATGTGCCCTACTCGCCCTCACCCCCACTCCCATGTGCTGTTCTTCTCTAGCTATTCTCCTGGCCCCTTCATGCCTTGACTCTGGCCTTTCCCCTCTGGCTCCCCACTCTGCACTCCCAAGAACCTACTTAGCCATCCCTCCCACTGCGGGGACACCTCCACTCATGCGCAGCATGCCCGATGGGTGAGCTGCAAGGGCGACCCTCTGATAAGGCTCACCCAGACCACGAGCAGCCGGGGGGAAGGCACAGAGGGTGAGGCCGCCGGGGTGGTAGGGCTCCTGGGCGAGCCCCGGGGTCTTCAGGGCACTGGTGGCTGCACTCTGGCCTTCAAGGGCCCAACGGCCGCACCCTCCCCTGCCGGCTCCGGTCTCCAGGCAGCTCCCTCAAGAGCTGGGCGGCCAGGAAGACCTTCCCACGCCACGACAAGGGTGGCAGGGCCCGGCCCTGCGGAGCTCACCGTGCTCATGGTGCTCCCGCCAGCTGCGAGGACAGCACCACCCGCGAGTCCAGCGCTCAGCAGCCCGTAGCTCTGGCTCTGCAGCCCCTGCCCTGCATGGGAGTCCAGGCGACACGATTCCAGGTCTTCAAGCCCTGAAACGCAAAGACGGCATTGTGAGGCCACAGGGAAACAAAGCCCCTGCCCATCTCCGCGGGAGGGTGGCTCCCTGCTGACACCCCCCCACCCCCCGCAGCTGCTGGAGCCACACCGCAAGGGCAGTGCCATGACGGCCCCAGTCCACGCCCGGGGCGGTCACTTAGGTGGGGAGACACAGCCCGCGCCTGCTTCTCCCGCGTGCCCGCTGACACTGCCCTGGCCACAGCGGCAGGAAGAACCGTGACGCGGGTGAGGACGTCGGGCCTGGAAAGGGGCATCAAGCGCAGAGGCCGAGCCAGCATGCAGCCTGCAGACGCCAGCTCCCTGCAGGGAGGCTTCGAGTGCGGAAGGCCCAGGGGCCGGAGGCAGCGGTTTCACAGGGACGGGACAGCGGCCCAAGGGGGTCTGTACCGGGCTCAGGGAGGGCTTGCTTCTGGTGGGAGGGTTGAGGGTGGGGCTCAAGCTGCGTCTCTAAGCAGCCCCCACACAAGGTGGGGCGCTGCCCCAGGCCCAGATATGGAGTGGCCACTCTCAACCCAGCCCACGGCCTCCCCCCCGCGGCACCCTCCCTGCCACAGTGCACCCACGGGCACCGCGCCACCACCAGAGAGCTCAAGATATTGCTCTGAGACCCAGCCCCTGAGCACAGCCTGGAGGGGGCGGCCCTCCGCCAGAGGCCACCCCAGCTTCAGCCCACAGCAGCTCCAGGCCCCACCACTGGCTCCCCCGACCGCACACAGCTCAAAGCCTTCAGCCCCAGATGCCGGGTGACACCACGCCCGCCCGGCTTTCGGAAGGGCTGTCTCCCCCCAGCCTCACCTGCCCGCCCTCCAGCAGGTCTGCCGATGCCAGCACAGAGCAGACCAGCCCCTCACCAGCAAGGGCAGCGCAGCACTGCAAGCTGACCTGATGTCTGCTCTGGGGGTGGGGTCAAAGGCAGACTAGCCTGCGGACGGAGAGGTCAGGGGTCGTGGGAAAGGCAGGTCTCACCAACCAGGGAGGACTCCAGGTTGTGCTGTGACGGAGGCCGTGGGGATGCTCACAAACTGGCAGCAGCACCCAGGATGGCGCCCCAGGCCGCAGCCATCCTCTGCCCCTGAGAAGAGGCAGGGCCTCGCTGGCCACATTCTACAGGCAAGGGAGCGCGGACGCACGCCGCCTGTCCCAAGTCACCGCCACCACCCTTGCTCGCTGCAGGCAGCTCCCAGCCCACCCCCTGTCCTCTGCTGGAAACTCCAAATTTACTGTGTCCAGAGAAAGGCCCCTTGCCTTTTCCACCCCCGGCCCCCATGTGAGGACAGGGCTCTGTCCACTCTGGACCCCTCACGCTTCTTGGAGGAAGGATGAGGCAGGTGTTGGGGGTGGCTGGCAAGACAGACCCGGCAGAGCAGGGGCACTGGGAAGTCCGGGGCTGAGGGAGAAACCCACACCCCGCATCCAGCCAGCTGCCTGCAGGTGCCTCCTCCTATCCAGACAGGGAGGGGAGTGAGCAGCGCGTCTCAGAAATGCTGAATCGTGGGGTGGCCGGGCCGGAAGGCCCAAGGCAGCTGAGAGCCCCAGGAGCGAGAACAGCTGCAGGTCTGGGGAGCCGGGCCGCGGAAGAGACGAGCCTGTAGAGTAGGAAGCCAGAAGCAGGGCCTCCCTGGTGGGCAGGGGTTGAGATCTCAGGCTGTGAAGCTGTCCGCAGCCACTGCGGCCTGAGCGCAACCCCCGGCCAGGGAGCTACCCACAGGGCACGGCAGACCTCTCCTGTCTCCCCGCTGCTCCCCTCAGCAGTGGATTTCGGTGGATCCACCTGTTCTGTTCCCCACTCTGTCTCTGGGGAATCCGCGCACCCCTCCCCTTCTGGCCCACACCCCAGCTCTTGTGGCATAAAAAAATAAAAACAAGTCCTCAAAAAAAAAAGGCCAGAAGCAAAGCCTGGAGACCTGAAGCCCGTCCAGGCAGGGGCGGCACATCAGAGGCAGCAGTAGAGGGGCGAGGGGTCCCCAGTTGGCCGACCGCGGGAGGCAGCAGGTCACCGGAGCCAGGCAAGCGGAGGCCCAAAGCGCAGTGAGGGTGAGGCAGGGCAGCGGCCTGGGAAATTGACGCCAAAGTGAGGCCCCGCGCGACTGCAGTTGCTCAAGACACGGACCGGGTGGGCGGGGCGCCCAAAGGGGGAAGAATGTTCCAGACCAGCACCGTGCAGGTGCCACCCGGGAACTGAGGACCAGCAAGCGTTTGGGCAGAGGCTCAGGCTGAGAGGCTCAGGCTGAGCCGGGGGCCGATGGGAGCGCAGCGCTGTCCCTCGACGCTGCAATGGCTGGAGGCGGCTGCCCCAGGGAGCCTTACGGACACTCAGATGCCAGCGCAGGAGCAGACACGGCTCAGCCGTGGAAGAGGAGGTGCCGCACGCAGTCCGAGTCGGGCCAGGCAGGAGCCCCAGATGGGGGCCGTCCTCGCAGGCTCGCACCAGTCCTGCCGGCCAAGGAGGTGAGCGGGCAGGAGCAAAAGGGAGCAGCAGCTCCACGCCCAAGGGGGACTCAGCGAGCAGCCCCACCAGCCCGGGCCCACAGCAGGTAGGAGCTTCCCCCCCCCCCCGACCCCACCCCCCGCCGCACACGGACCCCCCAGGACATCAGATGGCCCGCTGGGTCGTCGCCCAGCGATGCAGGCTGCTGGTGCCCTCTCCCCAGGCGCGGGGGCCACTCATCCTCGCGAACTCACCACCACAGCCCAGGCGCAGCCCGAGAGAGCTGGACAAGCCGTGCTGGCAGTGCCGAGGAGCAGAGGAGCCCACGCCCAGAGACGGCCTCGGGGACAGGCCCTGCCCTGACTGGACCAAGCGTTTTGCTCGCACCCCCTCTTCTAAGTAAGTCATAAACACAATCACTCCCACATTATTCAAGCACTTCCCGAGCGGGACCTCGGAAGCGGGTTCGGGGCGCGTGATGGAGCCGGACACTGCAGGCTGGAGTACGCGGCCGCGTCTGTGAAGAATGTCAAGTAGGCCCACGGCTGCTGGCAGAGCCCCAGCGCCCAGAACCACCTGCCCTCCGGCCAGGGCGAGATCACAAGAGATGCCAGGAACTTTCATTTCAAAGCTTCCCAGGAACTTGGAGGCCACTGTGCCGTCAGCCGGCAGGCCCAGAGCACTGAGGACCAAGAGGTGTCTGGTGCAAAGAGGCTGGCCCCGGGGTCCTCCAGGCCAGCACTGAACTTGACCTCCAAGTCTCAGCGAGTGGCTGTCCTGTGGGGAGGGGGCAGTGCCCACGACTGCACGCGTCTCCGGGAAGCTGTCCGGGTCAGGCAGTGCCCCAGAGCGCAAGGCCAGCCCTCGAGTGGGAAGAACCGCGCTAGATGCCCTCCCAGCCTGGGTGGGAGGCGGCTGGCGGGGCGGCGGCCAACCCGCCAGCAGCTATTTCTTCCAAAAAGGAGACACAGCAGCTCAGGCCACCAGCCTCCGCCAAGATGCCTACAGCGTGCGTGACGCAGTGAGACCAGGAGCAGCAGGGCCGTGGAGGGCAGGAGCGGGCAGCTCTCCTCACTGGCTGCTGAGGCCCCGGCAGGCAGGGAAGTCCCAGCGCAGCCCACCTGCTCGCCTCTGCCACAGCAGGGAGCGTGGCTCGCGGTCAGGGCTGGAGGCCTGCGCGCAGAGCGGCAGTGACAAGAAAGGGAGCGCACTCCGCCTTCCAAAGGCCGTCGTGACCCCTGCCGTGACATGGCGGAGCCCAGGGCAGGAGGCCAGGGAGCGGGGCCTGACATGGGAGGACAGACGCCGCAGACCCGTGGGTACGGGAGTCCCCAGAGAGAATGACGGCGGAGCGTTTATGAGACAGTCTGGGGCGTGAGGAAAGGCTCCAGAGGCGCAGAGCCCAGCCCCAACTGGCCACACCCGGTCTCGACAGACGTGATCTTGGCAGGTGCACCCTCCCACCCGGGCTAGCGAGCAGGGGAGGCCCGAATCCCAGCCCAGATCCCCTACCTGGGAAGTGACCCGGGAGGCCCCTGGTCCCTGCCCACCGGGACAAACAGCACCCAGGGCCGCCAGAGGACAGGGAGCGGCCAGCACAGCGACCAGGCAGAGGGCAGCGAGAGCGCTGCCGGTGGACCCAGGAAGTCAGAGCTTGCTTCCTAGCCCGCCCGGCTCCCGGAAAGATGGAAGAGCAGAAACTCCCTTCGCAGGCCATCAGGGGGCTGGGGGAAGAGCCACCGGCCGTGCACCCTGCCGCAGGGATGCGTCCCGCCCCAGAGCAAGGAAGGGCAAGGGACTCTTTTCCCCAGCAATTCCCCCTGAAGCCATACCGGGTGCTGCCCTCTGCCCTGGGAGAGTGCCCGCACGTGTCGCCGTGAGACCTCACCATCTCTAACTGCGACTCTGTTTCCAAGTAAACCTATTCGCTTGGTAAAGTACCAGGCTGGGGGCCTCCCTGGGGGCGCAGGCGGTTGAGCGCCGCACTGTGAAGCTGTCCGCAGCCTCTGCAGCGCCGGTTCCATCCCCGGCCGGCCAGGGAGATGCCCACATGGCGCAGCAGACCTCTCCTGTCTCCCCGCTGCTCCCCTCAGCAGTGCTTCCTGTTGTCTGCCTATTCTGCTCCCTGCTCTGTCTCAGGAGAGTCCTCTCACCCTCCCGCGACTCTGGCCTGTACCCCAGCTCTTGTACAAATAAAATAAATCTTTCAGGAAAAAAAAGTAACAGGCTGGCTTTTGTTTCGAGGTCAACACTGGAGGAGCCCTCTGGGGTCACACCCAGGCCTTCCCCGCCCCGCCGGGTCACACACCAGTTCCTGAACCCCAGCCCCGGCCGCTCGCCCCGCAAGGCTGGCCTCAAGGGCTCTCAAGCGCTCCTCCCTCCTCGCGGGCCTGACTCAAGCATTTCCTCTCTCCTACTCAACAGAAAACACAACCGTAAACCAAACACCTTGCTTTGGGCTGCTTTTGACAAACTGAGAGTGCGCAGAGACCTCTTGGGCCAAGCCCGCCAGCGCGTTTCCAGCCGCAGGCTCCCAGCGCAGGCGGCGCCATCTAGGACGGTGTCCCGACCGCGCCGCTCGGCCTCCCGACTCCGAGACACGGGGACCCTGCGGTGAGTCCAGGCCACACCCCACAGTGGAAGGAGAGTCACCCCTCACCTTCAGCCAGGAGCCAGGAATGGAGCCGGGGGAAGGCGTGTCCAAAGCCAGGCTGGCCGAAAGCAGGGCCTCTGGAGCCCGTCTGGGTGGGCAAGTTGCGAGCGCAAGGGAATCGTTCTCAGAGGAATGAGGAGAGTGACTCCACAGACACACCAGGACAAGAAAGCAAAAAACCGCTGGCGTGGATGGAGTCGGAGGGGTCTGGAGAGCAGCTGAAACCGGCAGCGGCAGACCCCACGCCAGCGCGAGGCCCGACCCTGCTTTGATTCTACACAGGCTGAGAGAAACGAGAAAGTCTGAGGACAGCAAGGTCGGGGGGCGCGTGAGGCTCAAGGCATCTCCACCACCTCCTCACGCAGGTGAGGCCCAAGAGCTGCGGGGGCGACGCCACGTGGGCTCCTGGCGGGGGCCGAGCGCAGCTGCCGGGCCAGCGCGCTTCTGTCCAGGGCCCGAGGCCCCCAGGCCCTGGGAACGACGCCAGCTGACTCGGCCCGTGCTGGCCCACGGAGCACACCGCGCGCGGGCTGCCGTCCAGTCAGCTGCCAGCACCCCTGCTCGGGAAGGTTCCTCAACCCACTCCTGCTCCTTCACTGACAAAGCACCCGGAGGCCCAAGAGCGCGGGCGAGGAGGACCGGAGACCCGCCCCACCTTCCCACCCCCGCGTCAGGCCTGCTGGCACCTCCTACCGACCCACGGGCGGACGCCGCCCCTTACTTAAGATCTGCTCCGTGAGGCTCCTCTGCTGGCCCCAGGGAACCTTCCGGATGCCGCCACGAGATGTTCACGGGGCGGGGAGGAGTCACGGGAGCGCAGGGTGGGGGCGGCCGCTGGGGAGAGGCGGCGGGGCAGGGAAGGGCTGCACGCGGGGCACTGGCCGCATCTCCCGGCCGCCCTGGAAGCAGGCAGGCGCCGCCTCTGCCGCACGAGCCAAGAAAGCGCTCGCTCGGGATGGCACGTGCTGGGGAAGAGGCCGCGAACGTGGCTGGAACGACGAGAATTGAGAAGAGACGAAACGGAGTCTCTAGCGCAGTAGCGGGCCTTGAGAGGATGATCTCCAACTTGGAGAGAAGCTCCACGGCAGGGAAGACGCCGTTTCTCACAGCGCTGGCCACAGGACGGCGCGCCACAGGGACGTCTTCAGCAGAGGAAGAAACAACCAACGCAACGAAGGTCACCCCCGCCTTACTTGAAGCCATGGCCGCAGCCTCCCCTCCACAGCGACAACCAGGACCCCCACCCACGCGGACAGGAGCGGGCGACGGCTGACGGCGGCTGGCAGCTTGTAGCAATGAAGCGCTGTCGCTACACGCTTCTGCTCCAGACACGGCGGCGCACACTCGTCAGAGACCCCAGCGCTGCGCAGGCGCAACTTCCACCTGCCCGGGAAAGCGACCGGTGCCCGCCACGGTCCCCGCCGCTCTCCTCACCACATTCCCTGGGGTGGCCGCCCCCGGACCACACCCGCTGCAGCTCCCAGCACGCTGCCCACCACCCCCCATCCCCAGCCCTTGGCACAGCATGGAGGCTTAAAGCACGATGTTCCCGTTGACATGGTGTTGTCACTCCCTTCAGACAGCACAAAGAGATGGCACAGTGTGGGCTTTTTCTGGGGGGATTTGGGGAACAAAGTCTTACAAGTAAAATTATAGTCGCCACTGAGAAACAAAGGGAGACTTAAACACAGACCATCACCACGGGAGGGCAGGAGACGACATCTGCAGGCGAAACACGCAGCTGGGTGGGAGGGCGCAGCCAGAACAGCCGCTGTTAAATAACAGTTAGGTGGAAGCAGCAAAGGGACTCGGAAAGGAAAGCCACGTCGGGACCCGTCACGGCGGCAGGACTTGGCACCAGCCGGGCTAAACTAAGAGGGGAGGGCCACAGAGGCAATGGCCAGGCCCTGAGACGACCCCCCGCCGCTCGGGGGGAGCGGGGAGACCGAGCCAGACCACCGCGTCAGCGTCTGACCGCCGCGTCTTCGGGGATACCAGCAGTTCGAAAACTGAGTTTCCTAAAACTATCATCAGGTCCCCGCTGGGTAATGTTGCTCAAAAAAAAAAAAAAAAAAAAAAAAAAGGAAACAAAAAACGGAGACATTAATTGCCTCTCTTAAGCTCACTGTTGTATCCGGAGCGTGAGAAACACTGGCCACGTGCTTGCCCAGCTCGGCGCAAGTGGACAACACAGCCGAGTCCAGCAAGAGGCTGGGTGCACGCTGCCTGCGTGACCTCGGGCAAGAGACCCGACATCCCCATGCCTCGGGGTAAGTGACACGCGGCTATCCCCAACTGCCCGCAGGCTCCGTGAGAGGGCCTGAGAGACTGCTCAGCAACAGGTGGAGCACATCAAACCTGGAGTGCCCCCACAAGCAAAAGGAGCACCCCTGTAAGCAACAGGGCGGGCCACGTTCCAACACCAGAAAGAGCTGCTGTTACAACTCCAAAGGAAACAAGTTAACGCCACTTAGCTGACTTTTGTATACCTCAAATAAATCTACCCAGCAAGCCACGTTATACAGCTGCCTGGAGGTACAGTCTGCAGTTGGTGATGTAGCTGAAAGAACACTCCAGAAAGCCTGCGGGTCCCGGTCTCCTGTGCAGGCTGCTGATAACACACATTCTGAACTGCTTCCAGGTCTCCCCGCTCCGCACAATAAACCAGGCAATTCTGATTCACGCCTGAACCAAGCGGAGGCTCCAGGGCCTTGCGGCAGCCCCTTCCACATTTCCTCACACCTGAATTGTGATCGCGGGGTGCAGCAGGATCTCTGCTCTAGACAGGAAACCTCAAAATGCCTTGCTTTACAATCCCCAAACTCTGTGGGTAAACCAGCCCAGTCAGAAGAGCAGCACGTGATTTACCTCTCAACTTCAGTCATCCCTGAACAGTCTACGCGAGCTACCTTATTCCTCAAAGAGCCCTGAACAGGGGGACAGCGGGAGATGCAGTCAATCACCTGGAAATCACACCAGGCGACACAGGCATGAAGCACACGACACTGCTCTCACGCTGCCTGCATGGCTGTGGCCGCACGCGCTGGTCTTCATCGAGCACCAGGAAAATCTTCCCAGGAACGAGTAGGGGTGCAGATGACAGTCTTTCAAGAGCCAGTGAGAACGGCCACTTGCGGCCACCACTGCCACCAGCCCCCAGTCCTCACTGGTTGTGAGGCCGCAAATCTTGCCCACCTTGCCAAGCCATCATCTGAAGGTCCTCCTGCCTAGCACTTGGTCCTCAGGCAATTCTGAACACCTTCACTCCGGGCAGGCCCGAGCCCTTCAGTGACAGAGCCGGCTTCCCTCCACCTCTGGCCACACCTCTTGCACAATCTCATTCCAACAGCCCTCAGCTCCACCAGAGCCAGGATCATGCCTAGCTTGTTCGCTGCTGCAGCCGGAGCAGAAGTCTGGCACACAGACCTCAGAAATGCGCCGAGTTTATTGAAACACGCATTTCTTACAGGGAGCCAAAGAAATGCCACTTTTAATGTACAAAGACTAGATGTGACTGCTGCACACAAACAGCACAGAGCAGCATGAGGCATCAGCATTTCACGCAGACGATAATTAGGAAAACTACACCCGAAAAAACCGGGGGAAGGAGGAGCAGGTGTGACAATCATAAACCGGCCGGTACACAACACACTAAAGGAGGGTTTCTGCACCAGAGCCGGGCGCTCAAGTCCAGGGACCGCAAGAGGCAGTCCCGGAACGCAGTACTGGAACGCTGCGTCCTCCCCCACCTCCGGGATAAGCCCGAACCCACCCACTGCAGAATTCAACCCGTCAGGAAAACAGGGCGATTTCCTTCAAGTTCTCCGCCTTGGGGACCCGTGGCCGCCAATCCCGGCCGCCGCACTCGCCAGCCCAGGCCTGCAGGCGGGACAGCGGCCCAGGCTCACCGCGCCCCGGCAGAGGGCTGCGCCACGTGGGGCGGCCCGGGGCGCCCCCGCCCCCGAGCCCCAGGCCTGGCCGCAGACCGTGGCGCAGACCCCGCGGCGGGGCGCGACCAAGGCCCACCGAGGCGGCGGCCGCGGCGCGGCTGCCGGGCTCTGCCCGCGGCGCTCGAGGGGTCGGGGGGCGCCCCCCACGCAGCTCGGGGCGGCCGCGGGCCCGCGCCCAGGCCCCAGGCGGGCCGCCGCTGCTCTCGGGCCGCGCCCCGCGCCCCCCGCCCGCGAGCGCACAAAGGCGGCGCGCGGGGCAGGAAGCTCGCCCGGGCCGCCCCGCCGACGCGCCGGTGACCTTGGGCGCGTCCCTCCCGCCAGCCTCAGTTTCCCCGCGCGCGCCGCACGGACGCGCCCGCGCGACAGGCGAGCCGGCCCCTCCGGCGCCGCGGCGGAGCCGGCCGGGCGGGGGCGGCGGGGCGGGCCGGGCCGGCGGGGTCGGCGCGCCGGGGCGGCTCCCTAGGCCGCGGCGCCGAGGCCTCCGCAGGCCGCGAGGCCCCGCCGCCCCCGCCCGGCCCCGGCGCGCCGCCCCCCCGCGAGCCCGGCCTACCCGCGGGTCCGGCCCGGGCGCCGCCGCCGCGCCGGGGGCGAGCGAGCACCTCGGGAGCCGCCGAGCAGCAGCCTCCAGCGACGCCGCCGCCGCGACAGCGACCCACTTCCGCTCCCGGCCGCGGCCCCGCCCCCGGCGCGCCCCCATTGGCCGCCGCCGCGTCGACCCCCGCGGAGCGCGGGGCTGGAGGCCGCCTTTCAACCCTATTGGATGAGACTGCCATCCATTACCGCTTTGAAACGCGCCTCTTCCGGCCCCGCCCCGGCTCACGCCCGCTAGCGGCCCCTTCTCGCGAGAGGCGCGGCCGGCGCCTGCGCTCGCAAGGCCTCTCGGGAGTTGTGGTCGGGCGCCGGGTCTCGGGGGGCGCCCGCCGCCCGCGCTCAACCAGACTCGGTCCAGGCGCCCGCCGCTGACCTGCAGCCCCCGGGGCGCCGCGACCGGGAGTGCCCGGATCCCGGCCCGCGGAGCCGGAGGACACGCTCGAGCGGGACGCCGGGGAGGCTCCCGGGGGGGCTGCTCGGAGCTGGGACCCGGGCGCCCGCGAGGGAGCGGGGCGGCGGGCGGGGCTGCGTGCCCGCCGGGCATCCGGGTACCCGAGCGCAGGGGCGGCGGCAAGGAAGGGCTGGGCCCGTGGAGGGCCCGCTCCGCGCGCGGCCCCGCGAGACGGCCAGGCCCCGCGAGGGCCGGCGGGTGGCTGTGGCCTCCGGCGAGCCGGGGTCAGATGTGCCCTGCTCCTTCGTCTAGAACAAGCCTCCCTGCCCCCCGGCCCCCAGGGGCACTAACAGTGCCCGTCCCCGGCCCTAGCAGGGTCCCATTGGGGTTTGGGGCTGTGGGTGCCTTGAGTTCAGCTCCCAAAGCGACTTGGGCATAGACTTGGCAACCAGGAGAGAGAGCTGGGCTTGATCCCAGGCCACAACCTTCATTTCCGGCCCTTGGCCGTGAGAAGTTCTCCGTTTCCTTTTTTTTAAAAAAAAAAAACAAAACAAAACTGCCAGTTGCAGAACTATGCTTTTTATTTTTTAAGATGTGTTTATGCATACAAGAACTGGGGTACAGGCCAGACATGTGGCAAGTAAGAAGATACACCCGAGACAGAGTGGGGAGCAGAACAGGCAGACTGACGGAAATACACTGCTGAGGGGACCCGTGGGGAGACAGGAGAGGTCTGCCGCGCCCTGTGGGTAGCTTCCTGGTCAGGGCTGTGGACAGCTTCAGGGGTTGTGTCTTAACCCCTTGCGCCATCAGGGAGGCCCTCCCTGTTTCCTTAGGAGGTCTTGAAGATTGAGTCATGTATGGGAAGTGAGCAGGTGGGACCAGAATATTAATGTTGTCTTGCGTTTATGAGCTACCTCTGAGTTTGATATCTGTCATCGGAAGGGGCCTCGTGAGGACCAGGTAAACCCAACCCTGTTTCATTTGATTTTAAGTTGAAAGACAGAAAATTGTTGAAAGTTGAAAGAAAATTTTCCAAATTTTGTGATTTTACTTGGGACATTAAACAAAACTTACTAGTTTAAGAAAAATGCACTTAAGGGCCTCCCCGGTGGCGCAGCGGTTGAGCGCTGGGTTGCGAAGCTGCCCGCGGCCTCTGCGGCTCCAGTTCGATCCCCGGCTGCTCCCCGGCCACCGGAGGAGGGTCCCACCTGGCGCGCAGACCTCTCCTGCCGCCCGCTGCTCCCCTCAGCAGTGTCCTTCGGTCCTTCTGCCTGCTCTGCTCCCCGCTCTGGCTCTGGTGAATTCTTTCGCCCTCCCGCGCTTCTGACTGTACCCAGTGCTTGTATAAATAAATAAATAAATCTTTATTAAAAAAAAAAAAAGATAGTTAAAAAGTACCAGATTTGGTGCCTCCCTAGTGGCGCAAGTGGTTACGCACCGCAATGTGAAGCTGTCCGCAGCCTCTGCAGCGCCGGTTCAAACCCAGCTGGCCAGCGAGGGTCCCGCATGGCGCAGCAGACCTCTCCTGTCCACGCCCGCTGCTCCCCTCAGTGTATTTCACTCAGTCTGCCTATTCTGCTCCCCGCTCTGTCTCTGGTGAATCCTCTCACCCCCCCCCCACATCTCTGGCCTGTACCCCAGCTGCTGTATGCATAAATAAATCTTTAAAGAAAAAAGGACCAGATTTATATGATTAACTTGTATTAAGGAACTTAAATGTCACAACCTAAGGAAACGCGAGTGTTTTCCTTTCTGTAATGTTAATGTATTCAGGACATGAAACACCTGCTCAAAGCTCCTGAAGGGCTCCGGAAGGCCTCTGCCCACTGCAGCCGACTCTGCACTCTGTCGGCATGCTCGGCTCCCTCACTAATTGTGCCCCTTGATTGTCTCCTGCTTGAGGAAAGGCGGGCACCTGGTGCTCCCAGAGCCCACAGCCAAATGCAGACCCCTAGACCTCACGCCATAACCTGGATTGCTGCAGGGCCTGATAATCTACTTTTTACCTACCCGCAAAGACAGAACCCCTGTCCAGATGAGCCTCGGATACTGTTGGTGAGGCTCTCCCCGCCACGCTGCTGCAGAAAGCACCCTTGACCAATTGTCCAGCCCAGTGGCCCATGGAGACTCAGCAGTCAGCAGCAGCTGCACCTTCTCTCACCTGGCTGGTCCTCTCCAAGGGCAGCTTGGTTCTCTCATGCAGGGAGGGAGCAGCCGAGATCCACAGGGTGAATCGCCTCATCAGTTGTTGCTTCAGGACTTTAAACAAATGCATTTATATTGTGCAGGGACCCATAAGGCGGTTGAGGTTCTGGTCCTGGCTGGCCTCACACATCGGGGTCTGCTGCTTTGCTGCCTATTGGGGGCTGATGGTGGCCTCCAATGGCTCTCCACCCGGTGGCCCGGCAGGGTTCCAGGCCACTGGAGACTGCAGCTGGAACTGGTACCTGGCCACCACTGCACCCTTCTGGCCAAAGGAAGTCAGCCAGGTTGGGGAGAAGGGGGAGACGCTGGTTTTCGATAGGCGGTCACAAGGCCAGGGCCGCGGACACCGGGACACCTTCGCCATCCACACGGCCTGCCCTGCGGCCCTGGGTCAGGCACTGGCTTAGGCCTACTCAAGGAGCAGAGGCCCCATGCTCTCAAGGGGGCTGCAAGCAGCTGCCCAGTTCACAAGGGCACCTAGGGGCCTTGCGACACCTGTCTAATAGGGAAGAGGCTGCTGGGACACAGCTGCAGGCACTGGCACAGCCAGAGCCACGCACAGCAGGTGGGCGGGACGGTGAAGATGCTGCGTGCTCTTCCCCTGATGTGAGGCAGGGCTCCTGGGTGAGGCTCGTCCTGAAGTCCTCCCTACCTTTGGGTCCTTGGTTTGGGAGCTAAAATATCCCTTTTGAAGCCCTGAGTGGCCCTAAGGGGCTCTGGATGGACTATCAATGTATGTCCTCAATAGTAAATGAAATGGCTTTGAACCAAACGACACCGCTACGGGAGACGCCATGTTTATTTCTTTAAGTGTAAATCTGCTCCCACTCTCAGGCGGGACATTCCTTCCCGCCGCCTGGGTAGTGGGGAGGTTCCTGGTCTGACAGCGTTCAGAATATTGGGGGAGAACTCTGGTCGTTCGTCTGTTCCTGTCCCTGGAGAGGCCCACCCTCATCTAAAGGCGCCCGGCGCCCGGCCTCCCAGGGAGCCAAGCTGCATGTGGGTGCAGGGGAGCCCTCTCCTGCGCACCTATTTGTGTGGCCCTTTCCAGCCCACCCCGTGGGCCGGCCACACTCTCCTGGGAGCTGAGCACATTGTTCCTGGCCGCTGGCCTTGAGGACGCCGACCTCCAGAGCCCAGGCTGCCTCCACCCCTGCGGGGCTCAGCCCCCACCTCCCCCCACCCCCCACCTCCCCCACCCCCCACCCCCCCAGCCCCCCCCCCCGCCCCCCCCCACCTCCCCACCTCCCCCCACCCCCCACCCCCGCCCTGGGCGGGCTGACACCTGGGAGCCCCCACCCTGTTCCTAGGCTGCTGCTGGAGACAGGGGGGGGGGCGCTCCGAAGGCACCGGCTTGGCGACCCCCCGCGGTGCGGGGGGCCCGGAGGCCTCGGGGTAGGATGGGGGGGCGGCCCCCACCCCGTCCCGGTGCTGAGCCCGCCACCACGCGGGGCTCGAGAAGGGCCCGGCGGACGGTCTCCGGGGTCCCTGGCGTAGAGTCGCCCCCCCGCCCTGGGGGCGCCCCGGAGGCCGCAGACTTCCCGGTGCGGGGCGCCTCCTGGACGGGCCTGCGCCGGGGAGGCCGGACGGCGCGCGCGGAAGACAGGACGCGGGACACGCTTCGCCTCCGGACGAAAGGCAGGCACTGTTGGCGGCGGCTCCCGCGCCAGGCCGAGCGCCCCGCCCAGGGCGGGTGGGGACCCCGGGCCGGGCGGGCGCGGGGGGGGCGCGCGGGGGGCGGCCGCGCTCAGGACGCCTCCGGGCGGGGCGCGCACCCGCGGGCCGAGCCTCCCGCCCGCCTCGCCCGCAGCCGGCGCTCGCGGCTGCGCTCCAGCTCCTGCCAGTGCCGCGCCTCCTGCTGCGCCTGCGGGCCGGGCGGGCGGGGTGCGGGGCGGGGGGTGGGCGCGGGCCCTGCCCCGCCCCGCCCCGCCGGGCCCCCACGCCCCCCGCCCCGCCCCGCCCCGCCCCGCCCCGCCGGGCCCCCCGCCCCGCCCCGCCCCGCCCCGCCCCGCCCCGCCCCGCCCCGCTCACCCGCGTCCTGGGGCGCGCGGCCCGCAGCCCGGGCACCGGCATCGGGGCCTCCTGCGCGCGCCGCTCGGCCGCCCGCTCCGCCACCCGGCGCCGCAGCTCCCGCACGCGCTCGTCCTGCGCGGGCGCCCCCGGGGCCGCGCCCCCCGCCTTCCTCTGCTCCCACCTGCGGGCGCAGCGGGCGCTGAGCCGCCGGGCGCGGGGCCGTCCGGCCGCCCCGTCCGGGAACGTGCCCCGGGCGGGGCTGCGCGCGCCGGGGCGTCGAGGGGGCGCCCCGCGCCGGCGCGGCCTCCCCCCCACCCCGGGCGGAGGGCGGGTTTGGCCCCGAGGTCTCCCAACACCGAGCGGGGCCCCCGCGGGGGCGTCTGTCAGGCTGAGGCCGGTGGCAGCGGGGGGTGAGGCGCCCCTGCCCGGCCCGCGGGGCCCCCTCTCCTGCCGGCCGGCCCTGCGCCCCAACCCCCAGTGGCGCCCCCCGCGGACGGCCCCAGGGCCTGTGTGCCGCCTCGGGGGCAGGGTCGTCTTTTCAGAGGAAGCACCCCCAAGTGTTTAGGGGTGCAGCACCTGATGCCAGGTAGGTGAAACGCTCAGCAAAGGTCACACCAGGCCCAGACTCGAGGTGACTGCACCCCACTCACGGTGTCAGAGCCTCACTGCCCTTTGACCTTTTCCACATGCTGGAAACTTGTCTGAGATGGTCGGCATGGGGGGGCGGGGGCTTACGGGGGTGCCCTGGGCAGCAGTTGGGGGTGGAGGAGAACCCATGCAGGAGGGCGCAAAGGCAGTTCCCCCTCCCGGGCCCCCCAGGCTCTGACCTGAGGGCCGCGGCCCTCCCCATGGCCGAGCGGCACAGGGAGATCTGCTGCACCACATCCTGCAGCTCCTGGCTCTTGGCGCGCTTGCCCCGGACGATCTGGTCCCGCTTCTCCTCTTCCTGGAGCCGCTGAGCCTCCCTGAGCAGGGCCAGCCGCTCCCGCAGCTCCACCAAGGACATCTCCCCCTCCAGGCCGTACCCCGGGGTCTGCAGGGAGGCGGGAGGCCCAGGCTGGAAGCCCGGCCCACCCCAGCCCCTGGCCTTCCTCTCACATCCAAGGAGACCTGCCTCCCTCGCTCTGGGGCAGGGCCCAGCCCCAGGCAGGAAGGCTCCCTGCGGCAGGCAGGCAGGCCGCCCACCTGCGTCAGGTCCACGAGCTTGCCCTTGCGCAGGGGCTGTGTCTCCAGGGCCCGCAGCTGGGAGATGCGCTTATAGCGCTGCCGCTGCTCCTCTCTGGCCGCCTCCGCACCGCGCTGCTGCAGCTCCCGGCTCTCCTCCAGCACCTCCTGAACTTGGGGGCCAGGCCGGGTGCTGAGGGGGGAGCGCCTAGGCGGGTGCTGTGCTGAGGACCACCCCGGGTGGGCCTGCGCACCCCGCCATCCCTGGGCCAGGGCTCGGGACCCGCATACCAATTTGCTGCCGGTCCTTCAGAAGCTTCATCTGAGCCACCTTGATGTTCTTCTGCGCCTCCATCACCTGCTCCACCAGCTCCTTCATGGCCCTTTTCTCCTGCAGGCACCTCTCAGCATGCTGCTGCATCCGTCCTGCGGTCTGCTCGGACACAGCACCTGCCATCAGCAGCGCTGCAGCCTGGGGCCTGGGCAGACCAGGCGTCCAGGCCCCGCCCGCCCCTGGGGTGGACTCCACCCGAGCGAGTCATCAGGCCCCTGGCCCCGGGAAGTGGCCTGCTGGGGAGGTCCACCTGAGTCCTCCCTTCCTGTGGTCCGGGGGTGGGCCTGGACCCATGCAGCCCCTCCTCAGAGCTCATAAGGCCCAGGTGTGCCCCAGAGACTTGTGGGCCTTCCAGCTGGCTCTGGGGCCAGACTCCAGGCAGAGGCAAGGGCGTGCTGCCAGGCGGGTACCCTGCGGCCTGTGTGGGACACACCAGCCTGAGGGCCGCCAGAGACAGGCTCTCCTCGGCCATGCCCGGACGGCCGCCGTGCTCTCCGGGCAGGCGAGGCGCAGCCCTGCACAGCGGCCGGGTCTGTCCGTCCTCTCACTTGGGCACCTCCGCAGAGAAGTGCCGCTGTGGTGGAGGAGGTCGCCGAGCCCGGTCGGGAAGGCTCCAGAGGCCCAGGGCAGTGCCATGGAGGCCCGCATCCCCCTCAAGGACACGCTGTTTGTCGGGTGGGCGGGTGGCTCCTGCCTATGGGCCGCTGGCCGCCTGCTCAGGACTCACAGCTGCTGGCTGGCTGCGCCTCTTTCCGGGTGTGATCCTCTGGCGCTGCTTTCCTCCCAACTTTGCACTGCCCAAACTTGGGGAGAAATTCGTTTTCGCCGACCGTCCACCTGATGCAGCGGTCAGCTCCGAGGGGGGCTGCTCCCAGCAGGGCGCTGGCCAAACTGGATGCGCCCGGGCACGAGGCCATGGCGACGGCCAGAATGTGTGGGCAGGCGTCGCGCGCGGGCCATGGCTGGGGGGGTGGCGCCTGCCCCAGGGGCACGTCTCTGCGAGGAGCCCGGTAGCCCCACAAGCGCCATGGATGGAATTAAGTGAAGAAAGCGTGCCGGGGCCTCTGCACCAGGCAGTGCGGACCCACACTCTGGTGATCCGAGGGGAGACACAGGCCCTGCCGTCCCTCCGCGAGGCCAGGGCGCCGGACCTGTCCCAGCTGAGAGGACCCGGGCGGCCCAGAGCCTCGTGCCTCTCAAAAGCAGCACTGCTTGCTCCCGGGGGTGGGGGGGGCAGCCTCTAGTGCAGGAGGAGCCCCGCGAGTAAAGACAGAGTCTCAGCCCCATGGGGGTCGCCGCGGCCGAGGCTCAGGGCCGCCCCTTGCTCATGAAAACCGCCTGTCCTCCAGGAGCCGGGCGGACAGCTGGGCCCCCAGGCAGGAGCCGCCAGGTGAGGACAGAGGGCGCCGCGGGTGGCCGAGGGACGTGGCCGGCTCCGAAACAAAGATGCTCTGTGCAGCAAGGAGGCGCTCAGCAGGGGAAGGCACCTGCCGGCCCAAGCACCACCCTCCCGCTGGGCGCCCAGCTGAAAAGTGACCAAAGGCCCGACAGGCACTTTTCAAAAAGAGGAACACAGATCAGCAGCGGCTGGGCGAGGCGGGATGCCACCACCGTCCGGGAAGTGCACAAACATCAAGGCCCTAAGGAGATGCCTCCCCCGCCCCCGTTAAAACAATCATCAAAAGATAAAAAGGCAGAAGAGCAAGGGGGGGGCGCAGGTTGTGGAGACCAGGCACACTGGCGGGGCATAAAGTGGGCGGGGGGGTGGGGGGGTGGTGAAAAGGAGTCGCCACAGGGCAGCGACCACACTCCCGGCTAGGGAGCTGCCCACAGGGCGCAGCAGACCCTCCTGTCTCGCTGCTGCCCCCTCAGCAGTGTGTGCTCAATGGATCTGCCTGTTCTGCTCCCCACTCTGTCTCTGGGGAATCCTCTAACCTCCCACGCCTCTGGCCTGCACCCCAGCTCTTCTACACAAAAAGAAAAAAATAAGAATGAAAAATGCTTTAAGAGAAAAAAAGAACGTAAGCACCGAAGGACCAATGGTGGGACTTCTCTGCAAACTATTTTCCAGATTGTTCTGACCGCGCTTTTTTAAGAAGGTGAACTGAAAAGGAAGGGAAACTGCACCCGAAAATCAAGCACAAATCAATACAGGCAAGTCTGTCAAAGTGGCTCTGGTGCGGGTGGGGCAGGCCCTTGGCGCCGTGTCCATGGCAACAGCACGTTGGGCCACGCAGGCCCCGAGGACGCCCAGACCCTCGTGGGGGAGGACACGGTGTCCGCGTGGCAGCCTGCTAGAAGCTCCCGCCAGACCCGCTCGTCCTTAGTGTGTGGCTGTGGGGGCCCACTGACCCTGCTGGAGGTGGACAGTCCACGCAGGCCAGGGGCCCCCGACGGCGCCAGACCTGGACGGGTGGGGCCTGCAGCCCTGGCATCTGGGCCTCGGGAGGAGACGCCCGGCAGCCTACCCAGGGCGGGAGCGAGGCCGGTGAGCCCGGCTCACCTCCTCCTTCTTCCGGTCTGCCTTCTGCTTGTTCTCCCGTGCCAGGTGCTGCCGGGCCAGCGCGGCCTCCTCATGGCTAAGCTTCCCCTGCAGCCTCCGACACTCGCCAGCCACCAGCTGCTCCTCCCGGTCCTTGGCTTGCATCCTCTTCTGCCACAGGAGGAACTCGGAGAAGTCCCCGGCCCCGTCCACCAGCTTGTCGACCCTGGCAAGAGGCCAGGCACGTGGCGTCCGGCGCTGGGGCCCTGGGGCAGCGTCCTCACAGGCCTGGGCTGCTCTTCAGCCAACAGCAGCCACGGCCCATGGCCCACCTGCCCCTCCTGCATGCCCACCGTTCAGCCTCACCTTCCCAGCCTCCCTTCAGCCCCTGTCCACCATTCCTCTGTCCATCTGTCTGTCCACCATGCCCAGGCCCACTCATCTGTCCATCGACCATCCCTCCACCCACCTAGCTGTCCATCCCTCCGTCCATCCTCTCATCCATCTGGCCAGCCACACAGCCCAGCTCCCGGGATCTGCGAGCGCAGGGGTCTGCAGCCCTGGCAGACCAGGGAGGGCGGCCCGGGGCTTGTTGGTGGGCCGGGTTTCTGCTGAGCCGCCTCCTCCCCAGTCCACCTCCCTGGCTGAGCCAGGTCCCGCCGCTGGCTGCTGAGGCCCCAGCCTGCAGGGTCACCTCCTGGCCCCGGGGACTCCCAGCTGGCGGGCCCCTCCCTCACGCTCCTGCAGAGCGCCCACCTCTGCAGCTCTCTCTCCACCTGCCGCTGGTACAGGGCCCCTTCGCGCAGGATGGCAGCAGTGTTCAGCTTGACCTGGACAGCGTCAGGCTGTGGGCAGAGGGGCTGGCTATGTTGGGTGGGGCTTGGCCCTCCCCCCAGGGTGAGGCCTTCCTCTGATCCCCTAGCTCCTCCCAGCCCCCAGGGCACACCCCCACTCCACAGAAAGTCTGGGAGCTGGGTGTCCCGGGAGAAGGGCCTGGAACCAGCACCGCCCCCAGGTCAGGAGCCCCTCACCCTGAAGAAGGTCAGCTTCGGCGTCCTGCGGATTCGGGGTGGGAGTCGGAGCTGTGGCTCCTTGGAGTCCTGTGGGAGTCAGGGCCTGGCATCCGTGCCCCTAGGTGCCCCCTGCCCCTAGGTGACCCAGTGCCCCGCCAACTCCAGCTGCCCTCCGCCTGCTCACGCCTGCCCGTCCTGCACACAGCCAGGCAGCACCTCTGTCCCCATGTCCCCCGGGGCCTGGCAGGGCAGGCCAGGGCAGGTGCCCAGTTCCCAGCCACTGAGGCCCGACCGTGTGCTCAGGGCCCGTCTCCTCGCTGGCCCCGGGGCTGGCCCCTGACAGTCCCTGGGCAGCTCCCTTAGTCATCTGGCCCTGCCCAGCCTCCTGTGGCACTGCGGGGCCCCAGGGTGGGCACCACAGGCCACAGTGAGGGGAGCAGCGGAGAAAGGCCCTCCCCAGGCACGCTAAGGCCGCCACGCCCGGGCCTGGCAGGCTGGCAGGCTTGGCCCAGCTCCTCCCTGGGCGAGGGGCCTCGGACTCCCCCTCACTTTGCTGTTCTCTGTAGCAAACGCACTTGAGTTTTTTCCCACAGAAACACTAAATGCTCAGCGTGGATGACCTGGCAGCCCCCAGAGGTGCCCAGACACCAGGGGCGGTGCAGGGGCTGACCTGCTGCCCGGGACACACCCACCAGGCCCCACCCCGCCCCGGGGGGGGGGCAGTCAGCGGCTCTTTGTGCCCCACGAGCAGTTGGGGCACTTTCCATGACGTGGACCGCTGGCCCCTGGCAACCGACGGGCCAGGGTGCTCCGGGTGGGGGGCAATACCTGCTCGGGGGGCACCCCGCGGGCCCTGGGCACTGCACAGCGCAGCTCCTCCACGTTCGCCTGCAGCAGCAGCTCCTGTGACCAACGAGCGTCACCACCGCGTGCCCCAGAGTGGCTGCCCCTCCCCTCACCCCCGCCCCGGGGGTCTCCGGCAGGACAGGCTTGGGACCGGCCCTCACCTCAGCCTTCCGGCGATTATACCGCCTGGTCATCTCCAGCAGCCGCTGCTCTTTGGGTGGCTGGTAGGTGCTCCTGGGCACCTGGGGAGGGGGAGGAGGTAGGCACCGGCTCACTTTGGAGGGTGTGCACCTGCGGGGCTGGACTGAGTTCCCATGCTGGGAGAGGCAGGGCCTCGAGGCCCCGGGCTTCCTTGGGCCTGCTGGCTGCTGGTGGGCAGCTGGGAGCGGTGGGGAAGGCGGGCAAGCAGGCAGGTGGCTGAACACAGCCCCAGGCCCCCTAGGCACTGAGGGACAGGCAGAGGACACTGGCTGGGTGGGGGGGGGGTGGCTGACAGGAGGCGCAGGGGAGAGGCTATGGACCCGAGTCCCCCCCTCCGAAGGCCCCAGCCTTTGCACTTTTGGGGCGGGGAGGGCGCTGCCCCAGGCCCTTTGCACAGGCTTTGTTCTCCAGAAGGCCCCCCCAGGCCCCTGGCTTACTTGCTCAAGTCTCCCAGTTCCACCCCATGGTGCTTCCCCGGGGGGCCTTTCCTGGTCTCGTCATCCAGAACCGCGACTTCCAAAGCTGCGTGCTCTGCCCTGAACTCGCTGCTCCTCTCAGCGCTGCCCCCAGTGTGCGCACTGTACTGACCCTGCTTTCTAGCCGAGTCCCCCGGTGGGGCGCACGCTCCACAAGCCTGTGTCTGGCCCACGCATGGCCCCCATAGCTACTTGTTGAAGGAGTGGATGAGTGACTCGAGTGCAACCTTAACCCAGGGTCCCAGGTGTGGAGCAGGCCAGGGTGGGGAAGGAATGAGCCTGTGGGTCCAGCACAGCCTCTGTGGCCCCAGGGAAGGTGACTGTACACCAATATCTCATGACCCATGAGGCACACAGCTGTGGAGCAGGGCTGGGCATGGTGAGGGGCCAGGGAGAGGCCAGGCATGGAGGCAGGTGCAACGAGCAGGAGGGCCTGAGACAGAGGGCTGGGATAGAAATATAAGGGGCTGCTCAGCTCCAAGGCCCCTGATCACCCATCCATCCACCATCTATCATCCAACCACCATCCATTCAGCCACCATTCATCCATCCATCCATCCACCATCCATCATCCATCATCCATCCATCCATCCATCCATCCATCCATCCATCATCCATCCATCATCCCCATCCATCCACCATCCATGCATCCACCATCCATCCATCCATCATCCACCATCCATCCACCATCCATCATCCATCATCCATCCATCCATCCATCCATCCACCATCCATCCATCCATCATCCATCCATCATCCCCATCCATCCACCATCCATGCATCCACCATCCATCCACCATCCATGCATCCACCATCCATCCATCCATTCATGCATCCACCATCCAGCCATCATCCATCCATCCACCATCCATGCATCCACCATCCATCCATCCATCCATGCATCCACCATCCATCCATCCATTCATGCATCCACCATCCAGCCATCATCCATCCATCCACCATCCATGCATCCACCATCCATCCATCCATCATCCACCCATCATCCATCCATCCATCCACCATCCATCCATCCACCATCCATCCATCATCCATCCATCCATCCACCATCCATCCATCATCCATCCATCCATCCATCATCCATCCACCATCCATCCATCCACCATCCATCCATCCATCCATCATCCATTCATCATTCATCCATCCATCCATCCACCATCCATCCATCCACCATCCATTCATCATCCACCATCCATCCATCATCCACCATCCACCATCCATCCATCATCAGTCCATTCATCATCTGTCTGTCCATCTTCCCATCTCTTCATTCATCTGATCATCCATCCACATACCAGCCACTACCCATCACCATCCATCCATCCCCCCACAGATTCAGCGATCTACCCAGCCATCATCCATGTCCGTCCATCCGTCCATCCATGCATTATCCATCATCACTCACTCATCCACCCAGCAGGTACTGGGGGAGGCTGCACTGAGTCAGGGCTGTGACGGGCACCAGACAGACAGGCCAGGTGAAGAAGAACAGTAACGAAGAGACCACCAAGGGCGCAACAGCCGTGCTCTCTATTGATGCCATGAAGAAGAGGCGCCGAAGTCAATGCGGAGGAGGCCGAAGGGCCTAATACCGGTGAGAGGGTCACAGGTAGGGGCTCGGGGGAGGGAGGTAGCGAAAGACTGGAAGGATGACAGGAGTGGGACCTGATGACAGGAGTGGCCCTGGGACCTGATGACAGGAGTGGCCCTGGGACCTCCCCGTGCCATCCCTGCCCTTCTGCTCAGCCCTTAGTCCTGCTGGGGAATCGGGCAAGTTCTGGGAAGCTGGGTCCACTGCTGGCGCTCAGGGCACGGTGGGTGAGTCACAGAGCAGCAGAGCTGGAGCCCTGATCAGACTGTGCCTGAAACCCATCCTGCTGCGGCCACAAGAGCCCCCAGTCTCGCGCCCAACCTAGACGGAGCTGCGTTTTCCTGTTCCCTGTAAGGTGACGTGCCGACTGTAAGGGCGCGGGAAGGAGCCGGCTGCAGGCAGACAGGATGAGCGTGTGGAGGCTGGGGGGGCAGGTGGCGAGACTGGGCTCCCACAAACAGACGCTATCGTCACCACCCCGCTGGGGCGCACGGGACAGTCCCTGGGATGAGCGCTCGCCCGCTGGGGGGGCAGGAGGGGCACGAGGACCGGGGTTCAGCAGGGGGGTGGGCGGGGCTGCCTACTGCTCCGGGCCTGGTCCAGCACGGCCACGGCCCGGGAGAGCCCGCCCCACTGGCCGCCAGGGCCCACCATCCTGCCTGGCGGCCGGTGTCCTGTGGACGCAGCACTTACTGGTCTTGGCTTGGCCACCTCGGGAACTGGCTCCGGCATGGGAACGGCCCGGGGCCTGGGGGCAGTCAGGTTGAACTCCTTGGGCTCTGTGACCTTGGCTTTGGCCTTTGAAAGAGGGGCTTGATGGGTCAAGAGCCCTTCCAGCTGCCTGATGAGCTCCTGGACCTCTGGCTGCCATCTTGAAGGCAAAGGGGGAGAGCGGCAGAGGGTCACTTCCCAAGCAGGCCCGGCAAGGACGGTTGAAGCCCCCAAGTGCTTGGGCCCCTGGCTGGGGGCGTCAGAGGACCCGACCGCCACTCTCCACCAGGGTTTGCTGCCCTGCAGGCACTGCCCCCCGCCCTGGAGAGCCACACAGCCCCTGTGCCGGTAAGGAAGCTGACCAGATTCCCGCCCCAGGAGCCTTCGGGCTCTGAGGGGAGGGGCTGGCACCGGGAAGGGAGGCTCCTGGAGCTGGGCGGCTACGCAGGCCGCTTGGGGGGGGTGTGCGGTGGGGGTGCGGGCTGGGGGCAGGGGGGCCTTGCGGGCTGCCCCAGGCCCAGGTCTTCCTGGGCACCCTGGGCACACAGCCCAGTCGCTCGCCTCGCCAGTGTCCCCTCCTGCTGGAAGGAGCCCCATTCCCAGCCCAAGGGCCACGGGCCTGGGGGGGGGGGCATGTCCAGGGACAAGGGAGTGGGGTGCTCGGGAGGGCCGGTGGGGAAGGAGGCTGGGAGGTCAGTGATGGGGCCAGTTCCAGCCGAGGTTGGACCGGGAGCCAGGGGACCCCACCACCAGACCGAGCAGCATCCCGAGGCTGAGGCCACCCCTGGCCCACTCCCCTCGACTGGGGCCCGCAGGTGCACTCCCCCGGGCAGGGCTGGGCAGGGCGTCCCCCGCCCCTTTGGCGGCACCCCTGCCCTTTGGTGTGGGGCTGGCTGAGACGGGCCTTCCCGCGGGAGGGGCAGCGCTGAGGGATGCCCACTGCCCAGGCCCAGGCCTCCTCCCCACAGCAGGGGTTCTACCTTCTCGGGGCCTCGGGGCCCCTCACTGCAGGCACAGAGAAGCCTGCTAGTGCCAGGGTGTCCATCTGCCCCTGGGAAGAGGAGGCCCCCCATCCTATCAGGAGGAGGAGAACTGGGAGCGGCAGCACCCCGACCCCCGGGGCCCATCCTGGAGGCTGAGGGCTGGACCTGGCCCCTGTGCTGCTCCTCCTGCCCGAGGTCCCAGCCTGCACCAGCGACACCAGCGTTTGCCCCCCGCCGCCCCTGCGAGGGAAGGCCCAGGAAGGCAGCTTTGGGGTGACAAGTCCGGGAGAGGTGTCCCGGGGGTCTGGGCCTGGGGCCCAGGAGCTGCCCGTCCCGCTGCCTCCCCCGTGGACCCCTGGCGCAGCAAGGGGGCCGGCGGGCCTGCATCTGCCAGCCTGGGGGGGCGCAGCCTGGCCCACCTCATCAGGGGGTTGATCCAGGTCTCCCTCACGTGGGCCGAGTCGTAGATGCGGCTCCACTCGTCCTTGATCCACGTGCACAGGTGCAAGGGGTTGAAGAAAAACCTGAGGAACTGAGGGAGGAGCTGGCGCCTCAGGCCTGGACCCCACCCAGCAGGGTGAAGCCTGGCCCACCGGGGGAGCTGGCCCCAGGGGCGCTCAGAAGCCGCAGCTGGGGTGGGAGGCGGTGACACCCTCAGCAGGCAGGGGCCAGAGCAGAGGGGCCCCCTGCCAGGCTGGGCACCAGGCTGGGAGCAACAGCACCCCGGGGCCTCCTCCATGGCGCTGGGCACGCGGGGCGCCCGCCCACAGGCACATCCATCCCCTTGGGGACCCAGGCTCCAGCCAGCTCCGGGACAGATGGGAAGGAGTCTGTGCCCACCCCGCCCTCCGGCACCCCCAGGAGGGTCTCCAGTGTCCACCACGCCCTCGTCCAGGCAGCCAGGGCAGTGCGGCCTGTGGGCTGGGAGGCGACCTGTCGCCCCAAGCAGGTGGCTGGCCCCGCCCAGGGACTGAGGCCGTGCCCAGGGGGTGGCGCAGACCCGGCCTGGCATCTCCGCACTGGGGGGTCTGCGTGGGCCTCATCCGCGACTCTTCTCCCAGAGGCCCCGGGGAGGTGCGCCCAGGCGGGAGGCGTGGGCGGGGCTGCGCTGGCCGGCACCCTGGGCATCTGTCCTGGGCCTGTCCGGGACCCCTGCAGCTGACCCAGGGCCAGCCCAGTGCCAGGTGACACGGGCCCGGCTCCAGCCGCCCTGGAGAACCCACGAGGACGGGCAGCAGCAGCACCTGAGGGCGGGCGCCTGGGCGGCGGGAAAGGCTGCGGGGTCTGCTGCTCTGCCAGCAACACGCGGGCTTGGGGGACGCGGCTGCGCGGGCACCGGCCGGCACGGGCCAGCTCCACGCACATGGGAAGACGCGTCCCGAGGCCGGAGCGTGGCCTGGCCTGGCCTGGTGCCTTTAACCCTCCCTGCGGGGGGCCCAGGAGCCTTGGGGTGATGCCCCATGCCTGGTCCCAGGCGGTTCTCTGTTCACCCGCAGCGTGACTCCAGGCAGGTCGCCTGTTGTCTCCAGGGGGTGAGCGGCCGGTAGGGGCGACCTCCCGGGGTTGCGAGGATAAAGCCAGAAGGGCCCCAGCAAGGGCCTGGCCCGCAGCAAGGCGCGGGGCGCAGCCCTGGGGGCATCCCGGGAGAAGATGTCCCTGGAGGGCAGGGGTGCGGGGTGGGGGGCAGCCCAGCGGCCAGATTGCCAATCCCAGGACCAGCCAGCGCGGGACACGCTCCCTGGCCGCCGCTTGGAGGGAGGAGGCTGCAGGGAGCCCAGGGACCCCAGAGTGCTCCGGAGGCCGTCGCTGCGCAGAGGTCCCGTCCAGACCAGCAAGTGACCTGGGCCGATCACCACCCAGGGGACCGCGCAGAAGGGGAGTGAGATTTCCCTGGGGGCAAAGAGCTCAGACCGGGGCTGGGGGGCAGCCTTGGGGGGGACGCCCTGGGGGGCAGCGGCGGGGGCTCACCGTGCACACTTTGTTCAGGGGCTGGGACTTGATGATGTCGCAGAAGAGCCGAAAGCCCAGCTCCTCCATCTGGAAGGCCGCCAGGTAGCAGATCACTGAGGGGTGGGCAGAGGCGGCTCAGAGGGGGCGCGGGTTCCCCCCAGGCCCCCATGTTCGGCTGGGCTCGGCAGGCTCAGCCGGGCTGACGACGTGTGTGAGGCGCACACGGGGTGTCACGGGGTCGCTTTGCAGACACACTGGTGCCTCCTGGGCTGAGTGAACCCCGACCCCAGCCTGCGCCTTCCGGGGGCCAGTGGCCTCAGTGCTGGATCCTCAGTGGCCCGGCCGGGGGGCCCCTGAGGCAGGGCCTGTGCCATCCCTGACAAGAAACCTCAGTGCAGCTCCCCGCCCCCACCCTACAGCCCCCCAGGGACTGGCCCCGAGCTCTCTGGTAAACCCCCCACCTATTTTTTAATAAACTCGCTGGCTTTTGCTTGCCTCAACTGACGATGTAGGCCAGGGGCACTGCAGCCCTGGCCACCCTGCCGGGACAACTCCCAGGCGGGCAGCCGGCCAGGCACTCAGGACAGCCCATCCCGACACCACCCGGGCCCGCCCCAGGGGCCAGGGACCCGGCAGGCATGGTCCCACACGCAGGCCCTCCGGCCTCGGGGCCACGCAGCCCGGCCGCCCCGCCCACCCACAGCATGGGGTGGCTGGGGGTTGAGCGAGAAAGGGACTTTTCCTGAAAGCCCCCCAACAAAAGTGCCTGGAAAAGTGGAGCCGGCCTTGGCCTAGAGCTGGGGTGCCAGGGCTGGGGCACGCTGGGGCCCGGGAAGCCCTGGGCGGGACACGCCGCGGGCTGGTGCCTACCCTGGAAGAGGCTGTGGTCAGCCCACAGGAAGGGCCGGCCGTCCCGCACATAGAAGGCGTCCACCACCACGGTCAGTAGCTTCCGGTACTGCAGACACCCCGACAGCACCTCCAGGATGAACGCCTGTTTCTGGGGGTCCAGAGTCTGGAAGGGAACCAGGGCCGGGGAGAGGGCGGTGGCCTCCAGGTGTGGGTGCTGGGGGCCCTCAAGCCTGGGGCCAGGCACCTCATGGTGGCTGGGGACCCCGGAGCGGGCAGCCGAGCCCAGGGCCCTCCGACCCAGTGGGACCGCCCATCCCCCACAGTCCCATGGGCCGCTGCCTGGGGCCACCAGGTGGGGGCAGGAGTCCTCCCCAGGGCCCTGAGATGAGGGGGGCGGGCGGGGGGGGCAGGGGTGGACGGGCCAGGACTGGTTTGGGAAGGGGCAGCTCTGGAGATGACAGCGCTGACACCGTGTGCCTGCGCCTCCTGCCATGAGCCGGGCACTTAAACGGGGGAAGTGCCACCCCACACCAGGAGCAGAAATGCCAGAGGAAGAGAAGAAAGCCGGTGAGCGGTGAGCGGTGGGTGAGCGCACCAGCCCACCAGCCGGTCTGGGAGGTAGAGCCCCTCCCTCCCCCCCCCAGGAGACCCTGCCTGGGAGCCTTAGGGGGCTGTGCCCGGGGTGTCAGACAAGCTGGGAGTGGGCTCAGGGCCTCGCACCTCTAGCCCGCACCCCAGTTCTTGTATTCTTAAATAAAGATAAACAAAAAATAGAAACAACTATGCCTTTATTGTAAGTTCTTTGCTTATTTATTTTGCATAAAAAGAGGTGCAGGCCAGAGGTGCTGGGGGCAGGGGGTGGTGAGCAGGTTCCCCAGAGACAGGTGGGGAGCAGGGCAGGCGGGTGGCCTGAAAGCCACTGCTGAGGGGGCAGCGGGCACCGGGCAGGTCTGCTGGCCCCGCGGCTCAGCCCCCGGCGGGATCATCTCAGGCTGCGGCGGTGACAGCCGGAGACTCAACTCCCAGGCCCCGGCGCGGCCCCGTGCTGCGCTTATTTATTTATTTTTTGGCTCAAATCTCTTGCTCTGTGGCCTCTCCTGTTTCTGCTGAAGGGAGCAGCCCTGGCGAGGGAACCCTGGGACCCTGGGCTTCGAGGTCTCGGCCCACCGCGGCCCCTGCCCCGTGTCCCCCCCGGGGTCGGGAGCCCGGCGCACCCCGGGCCTGGCTCTCCGGCTCTCCCGGGAGAGGCGGGCGTGTGGGCGCGAGGGGCAGCCGCCGGGAAGGCCCAGGGGCTGCCCGGACACGGAGCCTGCGGCCGCCCTGCAGCGGGGCCGGACACCGGGCCCCCTCGGGTCGCAGCCCCCCCCCCCGCCGTGAACCCCGGCTTCAGAGCCGAACGCGGGCCGAGCCCCGGTGCCGGGGGCTGCGCCCGGAAGGCGGCCGCTGCTGCTCCCGGGGCCGCCTCCGCCGGCCTCTCGGCCCTGCCCCAGCGTCCGGGCCTCCCGCGCGCCGCCGCCGGCCGCCGGGACTCCACGCCCAGGCCGGACCCACCCGTCCCCCCGCGAGCGTCCGGGGGCCGCGGCTTCACGGCGCGGGGGGGGGGGGGGGGCGCCCGGCGCAGCTCCCGCACCCCCGCCCGCGGCCGCCGGACCCGACTGCGCCCCCGCAGGGTCCTCTCGGCGCCCGCCCCGGCGCCCGCCCGCGCCGCCCGCGGAACAGGGTCAGCCTCAGGGCCCGGCCACCACCCCGGCCGTCCAGCGCGGCCAGGGGTCCCCAGCCCCAGGGTCCGAGCTGCCACGGCCCCGCCCACGGCCCGGCCCCGCCCACGGCCAGGACCCCGCCCACTGCCAGGGCCCCGCCCCCGGTCAGGACCCGCCCGCACCAGACCACGCCCACACCAGACCCCGCCCACGACAGGACCCGCCCACATGAGACCCCGCCCACGGCCAGGCCCCGCCCCCGATCAGGACCCGCCCACACCAGACCCCGCCCACGACAGGACCCGCCCACACGAGACCCCGCCCACGGTCAGGACCCGCCCTCGATCAGGACCCCGCCCACGGCAGGCCCCGCCCACAACCAGGCCCCGCCCTCAATAGGGACCCCGCCCACATGAGACCCCACCCACGACCAGGACCCCGCCCACGGCAGGCCCCGCCCAGGCCAGGCCCCGCCCTCGATCAGGACCCCGCCCACAGCCAGGCCCCGCCCACTGTCAGACCCAGCCCACGACCAGGACTCTGCCCAAGGCCATGGCCACGTGCGCGCCCTGGGGAAGGTCAGCCGGGCTGCACAGGCGCCCCTCCGCTCCGCGCCCACCCCGCATTGCGCAGCAGCTCCGGGCGCCGCGCAGCACCCACAGGAGGCTCTGCTGGAACAGACCCCGCAGCCCGGCGGCGGAAACACCAGGAAGGCCTGTGTGGAGGCTGGACGTCCGCGATAGCGGCGTCGCCAGCTGCTTCCTGCCCGGGGCGGGAGGGCTTGCCCCAGCTTCCCTGCAGCTGCCCGCAGGCGCCGTCGCCCAGCTCCGCGGCCACCAGACACACCCTCGGGGTCTCTGTCCTGTGTCCCTCCTCTCGTGAGGCCCACTCTGAATCAAGAATGGTCTCATCCCCAGGCTTGCAGCCTAATCACACCAACAAAGGTGCTGTTTCCTAGCCAGGTAAGGCCGGTGCGGTGTTAGGACCTCAAATGCCCTGGGGCCCAGGTGACCCCACAACCCCCCCACCCCCAGGCTCCACAGCAGTCCCTGGCTCTGCGGATGTCTTCTTGGCCCAGGAGTCGGCGTGCAGCCAGCAGGTCCCCCTGTGCCCGCGAGGACGTGATCTGAGCTACGCGTTTCTCTCGAAAGGTGGCCTGAGGGGCCTTCTTGGGGGCAGGAGTGCCCCGAGACCACGAGGGGCTCTCCCAGTCTCCCCAGCTGGGTGGCAACAGGGTGGCCCGAGGAAGGCAGCTGCTGGGAGCGCACCTGACACTGCGGCGGGCCGGGCGCCTACCTGCAGGGAGCTGGCCGCGGCCTCCAGGAACTGCTCCGGGCTGTCCTTGCTGGCCTTGAACTTGCCAAGCTGCTCCCTCACGGCGTCCAGGCACCTCCCATAGTAGGCCATCTTCCTGGGCCGGACCCTGAAAACCAAGGTCACAGGTCACACCCCATCGGCCTCCGACTGCCCGAGGAGGGTGGCAGGAGCACCACAGACCCTCAGCAACACCCACAGGATGTCCACTGGGGTCCTCGCTTGGTAGCGAGTGTTGGCTGGAAGGGGGATAACCCCAACTCCTGCACTGCTGCCTCTGCAGCCCGGGGACCCAGGCAGCAGTGGAGAGCCCACCCTGGAGCCCCCAGCCCCCACGGAGGCACCCAGACTGTGCCCGCGTGCCCTGAGGGCCCACAGCTGTGTGTGGGCAGGGAGACCTCTGGGAGGGCCCAGGCCAGGGGGAGGAACCTCGTGGGCGGGTCTCTGAGCACTCTTGGGGGCCAGCAGGGGATGGGTGAGGGTCCTAGACAGGCCCCGTCCAGACGGGGAGCGGCTATAGGTTGGCGCAAGGAGAACCCTTGGATCAGCAGGCCCAACAACCCTCCATTTCAAAGACCCAGAGAGGATGTATGTCCAGCAAGTCTCCAGTGAGTGGCCAGGACTTGTACGGACACTGAGCGTCCTGGAAGCACACCAGCTGGAAGAGACCCGCGTGTCCAGAGGGCCTCTCTGGGAGCAGCGGCTGGGGCTCCGTGATCCCACTCTCATGACAGCAGGTGGCCTCCGAGGGCAGCCAGGCCCATGGGGACCCTCCGGCCCCCCAGCAGCCCCGGACTCCCCAGGCCACAGCGCACAGTGACCTGGGCCCTCGAGGGGAGGGCGCACACGCGCAGCCTCCAGGCCAGAGGGCAGGCCTGGGGTGGAGGGCAGGTGCCGGGACGCTCCCTCCGAAGCAGAGGCCAGGGGAGGAGGCCAGGCCAGGGAGGGGGCTAGCACTGGCCCCGCAGGACACCCTCACTGCCCAGGGCCGCTCGGCCTAGTGGGGCAGACACCTGGTGGCCGTCCCCATGTCTAGAGGCCAGCGAGCCAGCCTCCCGTGCCTTCCTGAGGGTCCCGCTGGCCCTGGTGATCAGGGACGAGTGTCCTGGTGTAGGTGAGCCAGAGGGATGCCCGCATGGCCCGCAGGGCTACGACGCCCTGGACACGCCGCCTGGATTGCGGGGGATGGCGCCAGGACCCAGGGTTTTGGCCTGAGCCTCGATGGATGGGGCTGGGAAGGGGGTGCCACCCTCTGGGGAGGGGAGGCTGGGGGAGGCGTGGTTCCAGGTCAGGGGGTCTGCAGCCTTCCTCTCAGTGCCCCAGGTTCCGCTGCTGTGAGACCGTGGGGACCTCCTCAGTGTGTCTCACCCCTGCGGCCTGGGGCCTTGCTCCGCTCTCCCCTTCTGAACCTCCAAGGCTCCCTGCTCTCCTCTCCTGGTGAGCTTCTAGGCATCCCGCAACGCCCCACGCAACCCCCCTCACCTGTGAGGCCTTCCTTCTTCCGCCACCTCCGTGCGCCCTCCATGCCTCCACCAGGCCGCTGTGAGCACCGGGTGGCCGGCCCCATGGGGGCGCGGGCCCCGCCCCAGCCCACGACCAGCGGGAGTGCAGATGGAGGTGCGGGAGAGGGCGCGGGCCCTAAGGCGCTCGCGGCTTTCACGCAGCGCGGACTCGGGAGACCACGTGCCCGCGCCCGCAGGCCCCGGGTGCGGCCAAGCTCGACTGGAGCGGCTCCCTGGGCGAGGACAAATCCCGTGGCGGGCACCGGGGGTGGGGGCGGGAGCCCGGGAGCAGGCTGGGTTTCAAGGCCTTCCACGCGCCCTCTGCCTGATACCAGGCGGCAGCGTTTCAGGCGTGACCGGGTCCAGTGGTGCCCATGTCCACTCAGTCAAGGGGGCGACGACAGCACATCGGGGCCCAAGGGCGGCTCAGCCTCGTCACAGGCCAGGTGCAGAGGCCGGTTGCTAAGGAGCCGTCTCCCGCCCTTCTGTCCCCCCGCAGCCACGCGGGGGCTCTCCGAGGACGGCCCTGCCTTCTGCTCCGGTCTGCCTGGAGGAAGAGGCCGCCTGTGCTGACGGGCCGTGAGCGGGGAAGGCGGGCCCCCCTCCCCTCCCAGCCGAGGGGAAGCAGTGGAGGAACTGGGGGGGTGCTGCGGGGAGAGAGCGGGGACCCTGTAAGCCCCGCTGGGCGTGCATGTCCCTCCCCAGACGCTGGGTTCCCTCCTGGGGCCGCGCCCTGATGGTGGGCGTCGGGAAGGGACACTGGGGTCCTAGAGTCCCCTGGAGATTAACCCATGAATTCGGCCCCATCCTCCGGGGGGGAACAGTGCGACGCTCACGCAGCCCCGGTGCAGGCTTTCAGCACCTCGGCTTCTTGCAGGGGTGTGAACCCGCCTGCAGGAGAAGCGGGCCTCCATTCCCACGCTGACTGCTCCTTCCACACTGACTGTCGCTCCACCAACCCAGCGGGACTTGCCTGCCTCGCATGTAAGGAAACGAAAGGCGGGCCGGGCAGCACGTCTCTTGGAAAATCCTTTCTAGACGGAAATGAGAGCGCGCGAGGAGGCTAACATTCCACCCGACACGAGGCAGCCCGGGCGCTCGGCCCCCACAGCGCCCGCATCTGCACGGATCCCGAAAGTGGGTTCATTAAAGTAGATCCTTCTTCTGGCTTTTCACTCCGATTAAAGCCAGTCTCCAAGGATTTCTGCCGAGTCACACGCAGTGGCTGGTGATTCCAGGACAGCCCCGGAGGCAGGCTTGGCTCCGGGGAGCCATCTCTCAGCCCGGCTCTTCCTCTCCGCCTGAGTCACAGGCTGTGACTTCCAGCTGGGCCTGCTGCTGCGCCGAAAGGCGACGTTTCTGGCCTCCCAGCAGCCGGGCTTGCTGAGAAGGGTGAGACGTCTGAAGTCTCCCAGAAAGGGAGGGGCATGTCTCTCTTCCCGCTTCCACTCTTCTGGTGGACTCGGGAGGTGATGGCGGGAAACCAGGCAGCCACCCTGCACTGAGAGGAACTGCGGCAGGACTGTCAGAAGAGCAGTCCACAAGAGCCCGTGTTCCCGACGGCTCTCGAGTTGCCCATCTCCCAGGATTGCCTGCCTTGAACCTCTTTTATGGACTTAAGAATAATCTTGCCTGCAGGGATCACTAGGACATTGGGATTTCTTGTCATATGCAGAGGAACCCAACCCTGACTGACCCACCCCTTCCTGAGCACAGCCTGGACCAGCGCAGGCACTGGAGTTGGGCCAGGACCCGCGGAGAACACTCCAAGTGTCTGCCCCAAGCTCTCGTGTTGGCAACGATGGTTGAGAAAGGAACTGTTACAGGGCAGCCCCGATACAAAACGGGGTGCCTGACTGTGGGTCCTCACCCGCGTGCTTAAAAGGACTTACCAATACTCTACTGCAGGCGCACGCGAAAGGTTCATAAAGGGTTTATTCACAAGGGAAGGGGAGATGAGGAAATGCACAGCTCAGGGAAAGAAGTGGGAGACAAAGTTTTAAACGCGTCCTCCCCGATCCGCCGATCGATCTGGAATCCCAAATGGTGCTCTGAGAGCCGGCCGCGAGCAGGGAGCCTTGAAGCCAGGAGGCGAGCGAGAGAGTGACCCCCCCAAGGCCCACGTGTTTGGTTTTTATACCCAACCTGGCTGCTTAACTCCACCCTCAGGTCCCAGCCACCTTCCCTCTGGTGGTGACGGGATTTGTCTTTCCCGAAGTCCTGATGGCTTTGGTCTGGAGTGGGGGTGGCGTCCACAAAGCCTGCATGGGATTAGCTCAGGACAGCCTCTCCCCCTAACAGAACTGGCTGTCTGGGGGAGCCTGAAAATGCAGTTTTGAGGGGATCTGTTAGACTTTAAAGTGGTGAACAATAGGAGATGGGCTGAAGTCCCAGGTTGAGGCTGGAGGTGTAAGTTTTGGAAAGGCCAGGAGAAAGTGTTGTGTCTCTAAAACCATGCATTGCAGGGCCTTCCCGGTGGCGCAAGGGGTTAAGACGCAGCCTAGGAAGCTGTCCGCAGCCTCTGTAGCACCAGTTCGATCCCCAGCCGGCCAGGGAGCTGCCCACATGGCTCAGCAGACCTCTCCTGACTCGCCTGCAGCTCCCTTCGCAGTGTATTTCAGTCAGTCTGCCTGTTCTGCTCCCCACTCTGTCTCTGGTGGATCCGCTCAACCCCTGCATCTGTGACCTGTACCCCAGCTCTTGTATGCATAAATAAATAAATCTTAAAGAAAATAAATAAAACCATGCGTTGCAGGGAATCGCTCCGGGAGGTTGATGCCCAGGTGAGTGGCCTCTGCTGGGCAGGTGAGGACAGTGTGTCCAGGAGCGGAGCAGCGGCCATTGGAGTGAGAGATGGGGCTGGACTCAAGGTCAAGGTCAAGGCTGACTTTGATAAGGAGCCTCCGGGGTGAGGTTGGGTGACTGGGACTTAGAGCCGGGGAAACGCAGATCAAAGGCGCGGCGAGGGGCTAACACGCCCCGTGAGGATGGCCTGTGTCAAAAAGGCCAGCAAGAGCAAGTGTTGGCGAGGGCATGGGGAAAAGCAGCCCGTGCCACCGCCGGTGGGATGTAGACGGGTCCAGCCCCTGTGGAGGTCAGTATGGAGAAGACCAAACCAACCAACCCAGAGATACCACGTGGCCTGGCAATCCATTCGCAGGTATTTGCCCAAAGAACGTGGGAACACTGACATGGAGATGTCTGCACACCTGTGTTCACGGCGGCCTCCCCCACAGCGGCCAGGTGTGGGGCCGACCAGCGTCCAGTCCAGGTGACTGGATGAGGAAATCCTGGAAGATAAACTTGATGGGATCCTGCTGGGCTACTCAAAACGATGGAACAGTGCCTTCGGGGACGGCGAGTGCATGTGGGGGGGCGATGCTGAGGGCAGGAAGTCTACAGGTGCAGTGCGTAGCTGGGAGCCACGAGTGACACGGGGGCACCTCTCGGGAATGAGATCTACTCCCCCAACTGCAGTCAGGTTTACCCGACAACTGCAAAAGAGAAGCGCTGTTTGGACGGTTCCAGAGAGAACCGGTGGAAAGCGTGGAGACCAGAGGCAGCTCAGGGGCTTGCTTTTTAGGGAGCAGTGTCTGGGGTGGCTCGCGGCCGGGAAGCAGCTGGCGCCTGCACACCCGCTTTGCCTGTTGGACCTCGGGCCGGCAGTGGTAACGGGAGCGCAGAAGCGACCTTGGCAAGGGAGGGTTCCTTCCCGGCCGCGCTGGGGAGGGGCGCAGGCCTGGGGGGCCCCGGCGCGGGGCGCGCTCACGGGGGCCCCTGCCGCAGCCATGTTCGCGGCCAGGGGCGGGGGCCAGAGCGCGCGCCCCGTCCCCGTCTGGCGTGCCCCAACAGCTTCTCAGGTTCCGGGGACTTTTTATGGATGCGAATTGGGGCACCCCTGGGGAGCTAGTGACTAGGGAGAAGGGGCTTTAAAAAGCGTCGCTTACAACGCGCCAAAAGCGCCTCGACGCCCATCGAGGAGCGCGGGCAGAGCGGGAGGGGCCCGGGGCGGCGCAGCCGGAGGCGGCAGGGAGAGGACAGGCCGCCCGCGCCCGCGCCCGCCGGCCCGCCCCTCGTACCTGTCGGCGGCTCCGCGGCGCTCCCGGCACCTCCACCCGCCAGCGGGACGAGGGGCGCAGGGAGTCGCAGTCGGCGCGCAGGGGTGCCGTTTGGGCGTCGTCACCTAGCAACCGGAGGCTCGCGCCGGCGCTGTCGGTGGGGAGACTACGAGCCCCAGAATGCACAGCGCCCTCGGCGCGGCTGGGCACGCGGCTCCAGGGCCCCGCTGCCCGCAATGCCCCTCGGGACTTGTAGTTTCGCGGCCCGGGCGCCCGGCGGGCGCGGGGATTGGGCGCCTCCCGGCCGGCCCCGCCCACGGGCCGCGGGGGGCGGGGCCGCGGCGTCGGCGCAGGCGCGGCGCGGGCGGCGGGGCCGGCGGAGCGCGGGCGGCCCGAGCGGCGGGAGCCGCGCGCCCGGTGCCTGCGTCGCCCGTCGGTGCGCCCGGTCCGCCGCCGGGTCTCGGTGCGCCGCGCGCGCCGGCGCGGGCCCCTCCGCGCCGCCGGCCCCGCGCACCTGCCGCGGCCGCCCGGCGCCCCGGCCCCGCGGCGCCCCCCGCCCCGGCCCCCGCGGCCGCCCGGCGCCGCCGCCGGGCCCGGGCGCAGCGCGGCGGAGGGAGGGCGCGGGGCCCGCGGGGCCGGCGCGGCGATGATGCACAGGCTCCGCAAGTGGCTGTACAAACCCAAGGTGAGCGGCCCCGCCCCGCCCGGCCCGGCCCGGCCCGGCCCGGCCGCCGCCCCCGCGCGCTCCGGGCCCCGCGCCTGCCGGCCCGCGCCCCCCGGGAGGACGCGCCCTCGGGCCCCCCCGCGCCCGCCCCGCGCCGCGCCGGGCCGACCCGCCTGTCCCGGCCGCCCGCCCGCCTCGGCCCGGCCCGGCCCGGCCCGGCCCGCGCCCCGCGCCAGTCGCACTGCGGGCGCCGCGTCCCCTCCGCCCGGCCGCGGGGCCAGCGCGGGGTCCGGGACGCGCCCGCCGGGAGCGGCCCGGGAGCGCGGGCCGCGGGTCTCGGCGCCGGGGCGCGGCTCGGGTGGGTGCCCGCGGCGACCCCGCGCCCGCGCCCCCGACCCCCGCGCCGCGGCGTGCCCGCCCCCGCCGCCGACGCCCTCGGGCTGCGGCCGCAGCGGCCTCCCCCGCGGGGTGCGCCCGCGCGCTGGGGCTCCCCGAGTCACCTCTGCGGGCCGGCCCGGAGCCCCGCGCGCGAGGCCTCGGGACCACGCAGGGGCCAGCAGGGGCCAGCAGGGCCCGCGCGCCCTGGCCTTCGGGTCGCCTTCTGCGCCTGGGGAGGACTCAGCGGCCGGGTCGCCCCGGGGCCTTCCTCCGGCGGGCGCGGGGGCTGGGCAGGGCCCGAGCCGGGGGCTGGGTGTGGTTTGGGCTCCCCGCTCCCCTCCGCAGGGCCCAGGGCACGGGCCGCCTCTGCACCAGGCCTGCGGAGATTGTCCCTTGTGTGGCGTGTCCCCAAGCCCACGTGTCTAAAGGTCATTTTGGGGTGGGCAGCAGCATTATTTTCCGGTAAAAATGGCAGGACCAGGGAGATTATCTGGGCCAAGCAACATCCTGGGATCGCCCAAGACACCTCCTTCGGGTTCTGGGGCTCCTGGCTGCCGACCGGGAATGGGGGCCAGGAGAGGCTTCCCAGCCGCGACCACTCTGCTGTGGGAAGGGGGGGCTGCGGGTTCTGTTTCGTCAACCGCAGGGTGATTTCAGGCGCCCGCCCGTTCCCCTGTGGGGAAAAGTCCTTTACCGCAGGGGTGGCCGCCTGGAGGCTGTGCTCCCCGGAGGGCGCATGCATGCCCCATCCCCTCTCCAGCAGGTTGCTGCCCTTCCTGCTGGCCTCCGGGGCTGGCGGGCTGGCGGGCTGGCGGGGCTGGGGAACCCGCCAATCCTGGTGCTCAGAGGAGGGGCTACGGCCGTCTGTCCTCCAGTTCTCGCTGTGGCGCGGGTCCCCTCGTCCGGGGTCATCTCTCCGGCCTGGCCCTGTCCCCTGGCTTTGGCCGAGTGCACCCCGTGTGGGTCGGAGCTGGGGTGCCCGTGGAGCTCTGTCTCTGGAGTTAAACATCCTGATTGCTCGGCGGGCCGGAGCGTGCTTTTCATGTTTCAAACCCCGGCTCAGATTTTGGCTTTGGGGTGTGAATCGAGTTCCATGTTCCCCTTCCCATGTCATTTGCACGTTTGGCACACGTGCACGAGGCCGGGCCGGGGAAGGACCTGGGCCTGGAGGAGCTGCCGCGCTGCATGTTCCCCGTGGGAGCACGTGTCGGGGAGACGCTGGCCTGCCCTAGGGGCTTTTCCTGCCCCCTGCAGAGACGGCGGTACCGTTATAGGCGCAGGCGGTACCGTTCCAGGCGCAGTCCTCGTTTAGTCCCTGCTTTGCTTTCAAACTGAACGCTGAGCGTCTTGTTCACCACTGTGCGGGGAAATAATCTGAAACCAAAAATAGTCATCGATCCTGTCGTTCTAAGCAGGCTGGGAAATGCTTTCAGACGCTCCTCTGGAGGCCTTCGCCACCGCGGTCGCTGCCCCGGCGACTCCCCAGCCGAGCCCGCCCGTCCCTCGTGTCCCGCCCGTGGTTGGACTTAGAGTGACGCGCGCTGATCCTCACTCCCGCGCGTCCTGTCGCCCCGAGACTGTCCTGGCGCCCGTGTTCAGGACGCGCACGTCTGGGCGGTGGGCCCCGGGAGCTGGGGGTCCCCCGGCTGCTCTGCTGGCCTCAGGCTTTTACCTAAAGTCTTTCCGAGAAGACTGGGTGGTAAAAAGGAGCAGCGTTTTGGCACAGCTGGCATCTTCATTTGAAAACAGATGACCAAGCTGTGCGTTCCTCACGGGCCACACCCTCCTTGCTGACCGCTGCTGGCCACGGGGGAGGTCGGCCTGGGGGAGCCCGGCCCCGCTGCAGCTCCCGCCCTCCTTGCCCACCCGGTTGCCCCTGTCTCAGGGTGTGTGTCTGCCGTCTCCGAGGAAGCCTGGCCAGCGGCCAGGCGATGCCTCCAGGTGGCTGAGGGTTGCTGTGTGGGGGGAAGCCCCACACTCAGCCACGCACCCCCTGAGATGCACCCCAAACCGCCTTTCCTCATCATCCCTCCTGGGAGGGGAGCGCTGCTTGTAGACGCGCCCCTGCAGACGCTTCGGAGACTTTGTGATTAGAAGTGAACTGAGTTCCTCTTCCGGCCGCGCGGGTCCTCTTGGGGCTGCTGCAAAGGCCACTTCCAGAGAGCAGGCCAGGGGCCGTGCATGCTTCCCCGCGGGCCGGCCGGGGGTGGGCCAGGGGGTCCCGAGGATGAGCCCTGAGTCAGGGCTGCCAGCCCTCAGTCCACACGCTGCCCCGGGGCCCAGGCCGGCAGGCCCCAGCCCGGGAGCGCTTGGCAGCCCGGCCAGGTGCGGGTGAGTCGTCCCCCTGCTCCGGGGTGGCCCTGTGGGGCCTGTGGGCCCCTCTTCCCAGGCTGCCCGGCGTCTGGCGGTGGCGGGAGGGACTGTGGGCTCCCAAGCCGGTGCCCGGCCCCCTCCCCGGCCGGACCTGTGCAGGCCTGAGGCTGCTTGCGGGAAGGTGGGGCAGGGTTTCTGTTAAATGGGTGAGCTGTGGGCAGCGAGGGCCTGATTGAGTCTGCTCAGGCATCGGCAGGCGGGGCCGGCAGTGGGGTAAAGGGGTGGGGCGGGGGCGGGGCGGGGCAGCTGCGTCCCCCCTCAGGTCCCAGGGAGGAAAGGTCACCGGACCTGAGCTGAGAGTGGGTGATGTTGGGACACCCTTGTGGCTGGGGTGCCGTGCGCCGGCCCCGCCATCTCCCTTGTGTGGAAATGCAGAGGGGCCCTGACTCGAGGTCACCGGTCCTCCGGGTCTCCCCAGTGTGCGGCGGCTGCGCTGTGTGGACGTGGGCCGCGAGGGCCTGCGGCCCCCAGCCTCGGCCTCCTGCCTGCTCCTGTGTCTGGGTGGCCGCGGAGCCACAGCTGGGTAGCGGGGGCTTCTGTGCTGGGTTGGGGGTTCTGCCCCGCCCCCCACCAGTGTCTCAGCCACACACACACACACACACACACACACACCCCCCGTCAGATGGGAATGGAGGGTCCTCAGCCAATGTGCACTGCCCCCCGCGGAGCCCCAGGGCCATGCAGGAACCAGTCACTTCCACCAGGTCCTTTGGGAGGAGAAAGTGTCTCGGGGTGCATCTTCCCCTCCCCCCTTTTTGTGTGCCCCATGCTGGACAGGCACCTAGTTACCCCGACGGCCACCTGCCCCGAGCTTTTGAGGGTCCCTGGCCCCGGTGAGGGTCCCCACGCCTCTGGAGCCAGAGTCCTCCCCAGACGGTGCGGCAGGCCGGCCCGGGGGCTGGGTTGAGCGCCCTCGGCGGGTGTGGCGATGCCCACTCTGGCCCGGAGCTCCGAGATGGACAAATGAGGGCTCGGAGACCGCGGGGGCCGGGCGGGGGGAGGCAGGGCGCGGCCTGGAGGGCCCAGGCACTGAGGGTCTCGGGAGAAACCCAGCCAGCTCGGCTCTCCCGGCCCCGCCTGGCCAGTCACGTTCGTGCTCGCGTAGTCACCTGGCAGAGGAGCCCGGCTGTGGCTTGATTCGAGGGCTTGGAGGAGGCAGACAGAGGTTTCCTTACTGTGGATAAGGAGGTTTCCTTGCCGTGCGGAGAGGGGAAGCAGCGGCGGGGCGGACCGGTTCAGGTCGTGGTGATTTACGCCCTTAGCCGAACGGCGGGTTGGGCCTTCTCCTGGAAGGACTTTAGCTCTTCCGTGACCCGTTGTTTTTGTGCTGGGTGGAGGCAGGGATGTTGGGGCACTTCAAGTGGAGCTCCCTTTGTGCATGGGGTTCCTTCCAGCTCGTGTGGGGCTATGGGCTCAGCCCCCCTCTGGCTCCCCAACTCAGGGAGATAAACCTCACCTGAAAGTTTGGGCACCGAGGATGGGTGAGAAGGTTCCAGGTGCTTCCGGCTGGACATCCGGGACTGAGAGCAGAGAGGGGGGCTGGCTTGGCGCAGCCCAGACGGTCCCAAGCTCAAGCAGGTTCAGGTCCAGTGAGTGCTGCTCCAGGGGCGCCTGGCCATTTGCAGCAGGACGGTGAGCCCGGGCGGGCGGGACAGCCGCGGCCAGAGGGGCTGTTCCCGGCTGGAGGGGAGGCCAAGCAGGCCGGGCACCGTCCGCCAGTGCCAGGAACCCAAATGGCAGATGGCAGTTTCAGGGGAAGGCGGAGAGGCATCCGCCCCCAAGTGCTCCCAGTGCTGCAGAACGTGCCCTGGAAGGGAGAGGAAAGTCGGGGCGGGCGTGGGGGCCAGGCGACAAGCAGTGGGGTCGGAAGAGCAGCCTCCAGGCCGGCCGCGCTCCCGGGCAGTCACCCGGGCAGCGCTGGCCCCGAGGCCCCGTGGAGAGGAGGGTGCAGGGCCTGCTGACCTCCGCCCTGGAGGTTAGGGTGAGATTCATGGGGTGACTCTGCGGAAGCTGCAGAGTGAGCAACCCCAGCGCGGGCGCCCAAGGGTGACGCCGCCCGGAAGTGGAAGGGAGCGAGCGGGAGCACAGATGGGCCCATGGGAGCAGTCGCCCGGCCAGCACAGTGGGGAGGGGCCCCCAGCCAGGGCAGAGCTGGGCAGTCCCGGGGACCCAGCCGCAGACACGCCCAGGGCCAGCGCAGGGGGCAGATGGAAGGAAAGGCCCAGAGGGAGATGCGGGGGCCGCCCCGGCAGGTGGGGGATGGAAGCTGG